ATCAATTGCCCAAAGCAGAAGGTAAACTCAGCTGGAACATTCAACAAAATTTATTGAAGAGAAACATTTACTGACATATTTGAAGAAAGGGAATGACAACAGAGAGGAACTTCTAATGGCCACTAGAGCCCATAGGTCTCACACCTCCCTCCTCCTTCTGGGGTCCCTAATTAGTGCCTCAGCTGCCCCCCACACCACAGCCCTCCCACCCTAGTCCCCCTTCCTGAGGGCCCCACCACGGGCCTTTGCAGGGCCGTGGACGCTGGCGATGTCCACTCACTGCAGGGCTCCCCTCCCCCTCTGGCCAACATGCTGGGGCCTGGCCCTGCCCTGTGGCCTGCACAGGACAGTCACAGGATGCTGGACAACACAGCAGGGGGGCACTCCTCCAAGCCGAGGAAGCCGAGTCACAAGGAACAACAGGGTGGCACATCAGAGCAGTCCCCGTGGAGCCTCGGGCAGCCCCTTTGGTCCCTGGTCCAGTTCTTCCTTCCGAGGTCACTGGATAAGGCCCAGCCTCGCCTTCGTTGGCCCTTCCTTCCATCTCCTGGGACTGGGCACAGGGTCGCCGGGGTGGGAGTGGAGGTACAGGAACTGCTCAGAGAAGCACACACACATCCCCACAAGAACAAGCAGTGCTTGACCGAAATCAACACCGAGAAAGCAGAGGTTGAGCTCAGGACACTGGACAAGAGTGAGCAGAGCCATGGCCGACAGTGGAGCTCACAACATGTGCCAGGGCCGAGAGGTGGCTACCCTGGTAGGCAGGCCAGGACACCCACCCACCCAGGTTCATGCACACCTGGCAGCTCTGCACAGGAAGCATGTCTTGTGTGTGGTAGGAGAGGAGCCAAGTACTTGGCACATGGGTCACTACAGAGCCTACAGTGAAGTGGTGGGGATTCCCTAGTTCAGGGAGCAGCCTGCCCCAGGGCATGGAGAATGGGGTTTCCCACAACTGGCACCTAGGAGATGGCCGCTAACATCTCCCAGTTCTGTGCAGGTGGCAGACACCTTCAGGCACCCCTAGTAGTAGACGCCTACTAGGCCAGGGAAGGCTGCCCAGGGATGCTCCCAGGCTGGCTGCCAGAATTGGCAGGGTTTGGGGCTGGTGTTGGACTTGGTTGGCACTGGCTGTTACTGAGTGGTGGTTTGCCAGGCCAGTGCCATTTCTCCTGTCTGCTCTCCTGAGATCTCCAGTGGCCCTACACAAACAAACAGAACAAAACACTGCCCCCCAATAACTGCCCCCTTCTCCCCTGCTCACCTTCTCCTTGTTATCCTCCTCCTCTTCCTCCCCTTTTTCTCCTCTTCCTCCTCCTCCTTCTCTCCTCCTGCTCTTCCCCTTCTCCTCCTGCTTTAGAAAAATTGTCCCTGCACACCCACTGCCCCCAAAACCAGCTGTGGGGTCCTAACCCCACAGTACTAACCCCACTAACCCAAGTACTCAGCAACCCCACACACAGTCTGAGCCTAGGCTCTCACCCAAGGCTCTTCTCCTCTCATTCTTTGCTCTCTTTGCCCCCACAGCCCTTCCAGGATGCAGAGGAAAGTGCCTGCAGGCTGGCACTGGGCTCTCCTGGCCTCACTTGCGCAGGGGCTCATGGGTGCTGCCTTCCTGGGGCTCCCCTAGAGCAGTGTAGATAATTCTGAAGACGGGCTGGACCCTGCGGCCTCCCTTCCAAGGGCGCACCGCCTCTCTGCCGCACAGCTCTTCCTCACTGGTGCTGCCTTCCTTTAGCAGGGGTGGCCCTGGGGAAGGCTCCTCCGGGCACCATGTAGCCTGGGAGCCTGTTGACATTCTTGGCTCCAAGTCCACAGGGTGGACATTTGGAGGTGGCGAGATGATGGGGCCGATGCCAGAGCCTCCAGCTGCAACTCCTTCAGCCTCTGCAATAGCAGGGTCTCTGCTGGTGGCTGGAGCATCCCATGTGCTGGGTCTTGTGGCCCCCTGCTTGTGTCGCTGGTACCTCTTCAGGGCCCTGTTCTTGACTCTCCCTGAAGTGTGTTTGACTTCGTGGGTGGAGTCTCCTTCAGCTGGTGGAGGATGAGGGGGCTTGGCCTGGGCCTCACTGCCTTGCCTCTCTGCCTCATTCAAGTCCTTTATTCCTTTTGACTGTCCCTTCTCCTTGTTAAACTCTTTCTGATGCCTGCTAGGAGAAAGGGTGCCTAGATCTTTTGAGCCTATGTTTCCTAGGGCTTGGGATGGCTCACGGCCCCAGCCCCTGCCTCGTTTCCCGACTCTTCTGCTTCAAGGTAAGAGTTCTGCTTTGGTGGTGTTATGTTTTCAACCTTAGGGCATGTGGCCTGGTTGAGGTCTTCCTCTCCATTAGAGTGGCAGGACAGTTGCTTGCGCTTCAATGACGAGGCAATTCCTTTCTGAATGGTCTGAGTGCTGCTCTCACAAAACGCTGGTGCGATGACCTGAGGTGTGATAGGATCACTGGTTTCTTCTAATACTTGTCTGCTGGAGACCTTGCGGCCCCTTCCTACAGGTCTTTGCATCTGCTTTGTCACTGCCATGCTGGTCTCCCACTCCTCTTCATCTCGAATGAGCTTCATTAATTCCAGAAAAGTGGGAGGACATCCTCGCTGATCCAGGAGCTCGAGCTTGCCCCGGAGGCTGTTGGTCACGTTGGCCCGAGCTAGGACATGTTTCAGGCGAATTATATCCACACTTCTCATTGACAAGGGACTGTGCTGCACGGCTTTCTGCAGCAGGGGCTCTAACCGCACCAAAAACACAGGCATTTTCTCTCCACTCTTCTGACAGGTCTGGAGGAACTTAAACTGTGAGGTTCTATAGTCCTCTTTATTCCCAAAGATCTGCTTCAGGGCATCCAGGCATTGCTCCACAGTCAGAGAGTCATTATTGACCCAGAGCACCCGCATGATGGACAGAGCTGGGCCGTGCAGACTCTCCAGCAAACGCCTTCTCTTCTCCACTTCAGACACTTGCCACATTTGCATCATCTCAGTGACATGCTCCAGCCAGACTTCAAAGTCCTCTTCACCTGGGCTTGGGAGGGCAGTTCCTGAAAACATTTTGAGTTTTCGGTACCACATGTTTTCTTTCAGAGGCTGCAAAACTATTGGTTCAACTGGGGAAATATTCTGTGGTTCCTTGGTCTCAGTGGGAGGGCTATACCCCAGGGCTTTGGCCACATCTACCATCCTCCGGCCCTCATCCTTCAGGAAGTAGCTCAATCTATTGATGAATTCCTCATCTGGGTTACGGGGTTTTACCACCACTTCCCAGGCACCTCCCTTTCCTGGTATCTGACTGGGTATTGTAGCATAATTGATGGTGTCACCCAATTCAATGAAGACTGCCTTAGCATTGTCTTCCCGTCTAAACATTATGCCCAGAACCCTGTATGGGTAAAAGGGCTGTAAGCCTGCCTTCACAGTATCTTTAATTTCATCCTCAGTACACTCCACAGGGATCCCCACAATCAGTAGGGCTTTCTGGGGGTCCAGGTCCATCCCCTTGCACCAATCCTCTAACAGTGTCACGGCCATTGCTCCTACTTTCTATGGACTGATCTAATACTAGGAGTAGTAATTTGCTCACAGAGTTTGACCAACACTCAGTCAATTCTGAGCCAATGCCAAGTACAAAAGCAGAAGAGTTCCAGGTATCCACAGCCTGTAATGCAAAAGGGGTGAAAGCATCATTATTGCCCACCTCCCACCCTCACCAAGTGCCCCCTTCTACCCCAACCTCCACTCATGGGGATTCAGTTCCTGCCTCCCAGGGCTCCCCTAATCATTTGGTAGAGTGTAGAATGTAGAGATGTCTCCCCAGTCCAAACTCCCCCTATTCATCCCTTCCCTGCTGACCTCCTGCCGCGGGTTTCTCTTCAAAGTCTGAGGACTCTGCTGCATGTACTTCTGATGCCTGTGGTGAAAAGGTCAGCATCAGGAGGCAGAGCCTAATGCCTGGGGGCACTGACAAAGCCCCCAAGCAGTAGAAACCAGGAGCATATGCCAATCCCCTGTACAAGGCTATGCAGGCCCAGGGCACCTGCACCCTCTTTGCCAGGGCAAAGGTGGGGGAATGGCAACACAGAGTTCCCCTCTTTCTCAGAAAATGACTGATTGATGAGAAAGATGCTGGAGTTTTGCACAATGTAATTAAACTGGTGGGTATGGAGAGCTTCAGTGTTGTCATGGATGCCAAGAACAGCAGGGACCATGGGTTTCTATCACAGATGTGGTAAGGTTAAGGCCCCCCAAGAGCAACAGGTAATGTCATTGGCTTCCAAGCAATGAAGTGTCATAGCAACAAAGGGGGTTGGAGGATGTGAGATAAGGGCTGGACAACAAGGATTAAGTGTTCGAAGATCAAGAGCTTGAGCTTCCGGCTAAGATGGAGGTGTAGATAGATATGCTTTGCTTCCCTGCACAACCAATACAAAAATAACAACCAGTTTAAAAACAAAAAACAACCAGAACTGCCAGAAAATCTAACTGTATGGAAGTCTGACAACAAAGGAGTTAATGAAGAAACAACCATCTAGACTAGTAGGAGGGGTGGAGATGGGCAGCCGGGGCAGACAGGATGCACAGCAAGGTGGCAGCTGGCAGACCTCGAGGTCCCACATTTGCATGCGGATAAAATGGGAGGAACAACTAGGGAGTGAGACAGACCATGCAACCCAGGGTTCCAGTGTGGGAAAAGAAAGCCTCAAAACCTCTGGCTGTAAAAATCTGTGGGGGTTGCGGCAGTGGGAGAAACTGCCAGTCTCACATGAGAGTCCATTTAAGAAACCCATGGGGTCCTAGAACGTACATAAGCTCACACACCTGGGAATCAGCACCAGGGCAGAACCTGAAAGGGCAGAATTCGATTGTGGATAGTGGAGGAAGTGCCTGAAAGAGGGGCAAAAGCCTAGCAAACACCATTGTTCCTTCCCTGACCCCTCCCTCATGTACAGCACCACAACGTGGTTAAGTGGGCTGCCCAGCCCTGGTGAATTCATAAAGTCCCACCCCTTACAACATAACAGGTGCACCAAGACAAAGACAGCCCAAATGAAAGGACAGATCAAAACTCAAAAAAAAAAAAAAAAAAGGAACTAAGCAATGAGGAGATAGCCAACCTTTCAGGTGCAGAGTTCAAGACACTGGTAATCAGGATGCTCACAGAAATGATTGAGGATGGCCACAAATAAAGGAAGAAGTGAAGGCTACACAAAGTGAAATAAAGGAAAATATACAGGGAACCAACAGTGAAGGAAAGGAAACCAGGATTCAAGTCAATGATTTGGAACAGGAGGAAGAAATAAACATTCAACTGGAACAGAATGAAGAAACAAGAATTCCAAAAATGAGGAGACGCTTAGGGACCTCTGGGACAACTTTAAATGTTCCAACATCTAAATCAGCGGTACCAGAATGAGAAGAGGAATAGCAAGAAATTGAAAACTTATTTGAAAAAGGAATGAAGGAGAACTTCCCCAATCTGGTGAAGGAACTAGACATGCAAGTCTAGGAAGCTCAGAGAGTCCTAAAGAAGTTGGACCCAAGGAGGAACACACCAAGGCACATCATAATTACATTACTCAAGATTAAAGATAAGGAGAGAATCTTTAAAGCAGCAAGAGAAAAGGAGACAGTTACCTACAAAGGAGTTCCCATAAGACTATCAGCTGATTTATCAAAGGAAACCTTGCAGGCAAGAAGGGGCTGGAAAGAAGGTATTCCAAGTCATGAAAGGCAAGGACCTGCATCCCAGATTGCTCTATCCAGCAAAGCTGTCATTTAGAATGGAAGGGTAGATAAAGTGCTTCCCAGATAAGGTCAAGTTAAAGGAGTTCAGCATCACCAAGACCTCATTATATGAAATGTTAAAGGGACTTATCTAAGAAATAGAAGATCAAAACTATGAACAGTAAAATGACAACAAACTCACAACTATCAACAAATGAACCTTAAAAAAAAACCCAAAACCCTAAGCAAACAACTAGAACAGGAACAGAATCACAGAAATGGAGATCACATGGAAGGTTATCAGTAGGGAGGGGGAGGGAGGAGAATGGGGGAAAAGGTACAGGGAATGAGAAGGATAAATGGTAGGTACAAAATAGACAGGGGGAGGTTAAGCACAGTATAGAAAATGGAAAAGACAAAGAACTTATATGTACAACCCATGGACATAAACTAAGGTGGGGGGAATGCTGGGAGGGGGTGCAGGGTCAAAGGGGATAAAGGGGAGTAAAAATGGGACAACAGTAATAGCATAATCAATAAAATATATTTCAGAAAATCAAGAGCTTATGATTTCAAGTTGTATAGGAGCTGGAATCAAGAACAGAAAAAGGAACTAGAAAAGGTCTCCAGTGCCACACTGCAGGAGACAGACAACTCTCCCTCTAATTGGTATCCTGCCCTGCATCCTGTACACCTCGACAGGCAGCCCATCCCTCTTCTGCTCTTTGTCAGGGTTTACAGAAGCTCCTCCCAACTTAGGCCCACCTTACAGCTGCTCACCAAGTTGAGTAGTGCCCTCTGGCGGTGCAGATGCAGCGATTCTACGGGTACTCAATAGTCAGCTCTCTAGCTCTGTCCACAGTTGGGCAGTTCGTGGCCCCAGGGTAGGTGGTACTGCTCCATTGGACCTGTTCCCAGAAAACGCAGAGGTATTTTGCTAGGGTTCTGACCCACATGCTTCTGCTCCGGCTGTACCAATTCTGAATCTGCGGAGCTGTGCATTAAGTACCCTGGTGCAGGGCTACAAAAAACTGCTCCCTGAGTATTATTGCTACAGCAAAAGGAATCCTACCTTAAGATTATTATCTCACCCCCATTTCTACACCCTTACCCTCGCCCTCATACCCACCCAGTGCCATAACCCACCCCCCACTGAAGCGCAGCCTCTAACCCAAGGCCCACACACCAAGCCCCGCCCCCATCCAAACCTGAGCTCTGACACAAAGCTCTAGCCCCACAGAAGCTCTAGCCCTGCCCCCACCGAATAACCACCCCTGATACATTCCACCCCTCCCAAACTCTGCCCCCACAAAGTCTCACCCCTTCCCAAGCCTCGCCTCCACCAAACCCCACCCCACGCAAGCGCAAGCCCCATGCCAAGTTCCACCTCAAAAGAAGTTCAATCCCTGCCCCCACCCAAGTCCTAACACTGCCACTGGTGTTCCATTCCTCCCAAACCCTGCCCCCACCTAAGCCCAACTCCCACCCAGGCAGCTTCCCATTCCCATTACGCTGGGCTCCCCACCCTAAGACCCACACCCCTTACACACCCCCTACCTCAAGCACCCCCCATTCTGGTCCGTTGATGTTGGCAGAGGAAGGCCAAAGCCATTTTCCCTAAGGGCTCTGGGCAGGGTTAGGTGTGGACTAGATTCCTCTGCAGTACTTAAACTGATCATTGTGCATGGAAAAGACAGGGAGCTGGTGGGGTGCCTGGCTCAGTTTAGTGGTATCCCACTTCAGGAGAAACCATATAGGTTTCTAGGGGCTCACTGGCCTCTGAGATGCCAAGGAACATGGCAAGGGCCACTGGGAGGTGGCGGAGGAAATTTCTGAGGTTTGGGTTGCTCTCTGTGCCCTGGGCTCTACTCCATACCTGCTGGGTATCCACGCAGGCCAGAGCGCTAGAGCACCGCAGCCACCACACATCTGCCGCCGCTGCAGCCGAAATGCAGACTGGGTAGGGAGTTGTTGGCGGGAAAAGGTTATTGGGTGCACACGGCCCGCTGGCGGCTGCGCCCTTGCAGTATGACACCTACCTCCCCCCTCGGAAGGCGGTCTCCTTGCCTCAGTCCCTGATATGTGTGGGTGGACAGACTATTCAAATCAAGCTGGGGGCAGTGTACATTCAGTCTCGGTTTAGCTACAAGCTAACCACCAGACACATCGCATGGCACGCCAGGCCTAAGAACCATTTACGGCGCTTGTTGCGCTCTTTCCCATTGGAAGAGAGCTAGGTATTACAGTCTCCATTGGCTCCTCCTATTTGAATATTACAAGAAGTCAGCGCAGGGCCGAGTGCAAAGGTAAATCCCCCGAGAGTGCGTTCTAAAGAAAAGTCCTGCTCCCCATTTTTTTTTCACTGTGTTCTAGGGGAGCATGGCAAAAGTACAGCTGCTTCCTGCATTTTACAAAGGCATGAAAATTTTAAGAGTTCACTAAGAGACTGAAAACTATCAAGTTCCGTTTTCCCATTATTCTACTGATTTCAGGAGCAAGTATTATCCACATAACATCCGAATTGCTTCCCGCTCTTTTTGGAAGAAGGTTTCTTCCACTGAGAGGAGACTGGAGGGTTTGCCCTTGGCCCCCGCAGGACCCAAACGCACTGTTCAGAGATGGGCGTGACTGGGGCACAGGTATCACAATGGAAAGTGTGCACAAATTTCCAGAAGATCTTGATAAAAATGGAAGCCCCAGTCAGAAGGATGGGGTGAAACTAAAAGGCTGCTGTTTCTCGAAAGCTGGGTGAATCCAATGCTGCAGATTTCTGACTAGGCTTTGAGTACCAAGGCTCTGAAGCCTGCAATTACTTTTCAGGACCAGAAACTGTGGGCCTTTGGTGACAGAATAGATTTCTTTTGCTTTATTGGGGATACAAAAGAACATGCTTTTCTATAATGTTTTAATAAAAATATTTAAAACAAAATGTAATTTATTTTTTAGTTTTAATTTTTCAATTATGGTTGACATTCAGTATTATATTAGTTTATTAGTTTCATGTGTACAGCATAGTGGTTAGGCATTTATATAATTTACAAAATGATCCCCCAACAAGTCTAGTAACTATCTGGCACCATACATGGTTATTGAAATATAATTGACTATATTCCCTATGCTGTGCTTTACATCCCTGGGACTATTTTGTAACTACCAATTTGTACCCAGAGGATATTATGCTAAGTGAAATATGTCAGAAAGGGTAAGACAAATGCCCTTTCAAATATAGACAAAAAAGACAAGTATAATTTCACTTACATGTGAACCCTAAAGAACAAAATACATGTACAAACAAAACAAAAACATTCAGATACAGAGAACAAAATGATGGTTGCCAGATTGGGGGGTGGGGTTGGGATCCTGGGTAAAAAAGGTGAAAGAATCAAAAAATATAAAAGTGAACAAAGTTTTAAATGAAAGGTTATTGAGCAAGATATTTGCAGGCATCACTTTATTTCTCTTTAACTGCAGATGTTTGTTATGTCTGAGAAGGGGAACACAGATCTCAATAGGCCCCACTTAATAAGAACACACCATTAAGAGTCTGTTAAATCAATCTACTTCCCATGCCAAGAACAGGCAGTTACCTGGTGCTGTCAGAGCGTTGAAGACCCTAGGTGGAACATTTTACCTGAGAGTTCTCAGAACACAAAGTCATTGTGGCTCTATGAAACCACCACTCAAACACATGGTATTACAGGTATTATAAGGTGTCACAAAGGGTAATGCCATGGAAAGAGCTATTCTGGCCCTGTGATCCTGGAAAACAGAGAAGGTTAAGAAGTACCCCTGAAAACATATAACATTATATTAGTTTCAGGTGTACAACATGATGATTCCATATTTGTATATATTACAAAATGATCACCACAATAAGTCTATAGTTAATATCCATTGCCACATATAGTTACAATTTTTGTTCTTGTGATGAGAAATTTTATGCAGTACAGTATTGTTGACTACAGCCATCATGCTGTACATCACACTCCCAGGATTTATTTATTTTATATGCATGTTTTTCTGTATATGCATGCATGTATGTAATATTTTTAAGTGAACTTATTCTGACAAAACTTTATTTCAACAATAATTGTGATTTATATGTAGTATGTCAACTCTAAAGGTTTCAAAATCTTTTGGTAACTTACCTTACACTTACACTAAATTAAGTATGTAATGTATGCAGGATGTGTTTTTGTTAAGAAAAAACAGTAGTATCTTATCCTAAAGTGAAATGGTTGTTCCAGAATGACAAAAATGAAAGTGTAGGAGTGTGGATGGAAAAAAGGAGTTCTGTGTAAAGTAACCTCGCTGGGTGATCTGATCATTAATTCCTGTGTAGGTCATGGTGGGTAGTCATGCCCTATAACTTTTAAGCAAACCTTGTTTGTTGTTCTTGTGCATCTAGGTTAACACCTTTGAGATGCCAGAAGTAATGCCCTTTGAAGGCATAACCATGCTTAAGAAAGCACATAATCTTGCTAACTCTCTGGTGTTTCAATCCTGGCCTTGCTTTCCCTCATGCTCAAGTAATCTTCCTGTGTTCCTGCCTTAATTTCAAATGCATAAAAGAAGCTTCAAAACTGTTTGTTATTCTCAGGAGCATTTTAGATCTTGCTCCAACATATATGTGGTCAGTTTGGTTCAAATAAACTCTTATTAAAAATCCCTACAGGTTTGGGCATTTTTTTTTTACACCAAAAGTACAAAACCTGAATGAGTATGGAAAGTTGTAGAAGCTTCGTGGAATAGAAATTTTATCTCTTGTGTTTAGAGCTCGCTAAAGGTCAATGGGTTTATTTATGAGATACTTAAAATGAGTTATAATATCAAATAGTACACTGATGCAAAAGTAGAATTAGATTTTATCCATTAAAATGGATTTTTTTCTAAGACTACTGGTCTGCTCTTCATAGGAGGTTGTAAAAGGGTTTCTTTTGCTTTTAAAGTAATCCACATAGAAAGCAGAGGTTCAGTGTCTTAGAATAATTTACTTTGTTGACTTTTTCATGTCCTTAGTTACTTGAGAACCAAGCCTTCTCACGTTTGAAAGAGCTAAGATTCTTTACCATTGCATTACTTCCTATATTTAATTTTAAAATATTTTGTCACTTTAAATAGAAAGCCATGTAGTGTGTCTCATTAACACATGATCTTATTTAAGCAAGAATTCAAACCTCCTGACAATTTTGACATTTTGCTTTTCTAAACTCAAATATAATCTTGATCTCAACCTTCTTTGAGGGACCCTGGAAAACAACAAAGGATCTTGTAAAAACACAGGTGGTAGAAATAATTAGGTTTATTTGATGTATCGAGTTGGGAGGCTTTGTCAATCAGAAAAGATGCCTAACCTTCCCTAGGTTAAATTTGTGTGGGCAAAATGTTAGTAATATAAATATTTCAGAAATTGTATGAAGTTCCTTCCCTAGAGATTTTCCAATGCCTTCACTGTCTACAATATGTCCTGGTTCTGCTTTGCCTGACATTAAACAAGAGTATAGCATTATCAGTCATAATTTCAGTTATTTTTTAAAAAATGTTTCATGCCAAAGAAACAACCAAATTTCTTTGTCAAGGCAGGAGTTTTGTAAGTAATTTGTCATGCACAGATAGTTTTTTATTTTACACTGAGGCTTCCCTGAAATCACTTGTAATCAGCTACAGGCTAGAATGCCCCACCTTCAAGAAAAAGGGACTGTCTCATGCCCCCATGTAAAGGACTATGACAGGTGCTCTGGGGGCACAAGCTACTGATGATGTTGGTTAAATAGCTTTGAGATCCTAACACTAGACTGAATCAGAATTTCCAGAACTCTAGTGAAGAAGTTGATTGATTCATGAGATTGCTAACCCAAGACTGAGAATTGAGAATTAATTACATAGGGCTAAATGAACTCATGAAGGATGATTATGGGTTTTGTTTGGAATGTTACTGATGTTTAATACTGTATTTTCTGGATATAAGGAACTCCCTTCTCATTTCTTATAAGCTATCCATAATTTGTAACAATTTAGTAGACTATACTTTTATAACAGAAATTAAACACGTCTTTTTCTCCCTGCCCAATCCCTCTAGAACTTGTAATTTCTTTTTGAGCATTTTTATTTTCATGGTGATACAATTACCTGCCTAGGTTCAGTAAGAACCTGCCCTCCTTCTTAACAAGGTATAATTTGAAACATTGGTCATAAAGCCAAGGCTCTGACTGGAATGTTCTATTTGAGAAAGATTCTCATAGAATGAGATATGACCTGACAAAGTAACTAATACTACCCTATTTTTTTTAGGTTTTAGGTTTTTAGCGGGGCATACCGTCACCAACAAGTCCTGGAAATACCTGTTTAGGAGCTGCAGCTGTAGTCCTTATCTTCTGAAGTAGGAAAACCTCTTCACCCTTTCCCAGTTGTGCTCATGTAGCCCAGATGGTGGCTGTGGCTGGGGTGAGAAAGTAGCTACACGGATACTAGTTCAGTAGCTATTGAACACTGGGTCCTTCTGCTCAGTAGTGAAGGGAATTCTGTCATGTCTTCTTTGGACTGATTTCTTGATCATCCTTTCCTTTGTCCCTTGGCTGGATGGCAGGCAAATTGTACTTTCAGATATAAAACTCAGAGGCATGGATCACTTGATAGAAAGAACAATGATTCAACATGACTCTGACAGCCTGGGACACTGGCCTTAATGAAAAAGATGAAACTGTCTTGCCCATTGGTACACATCTGGAGGAATGAGTTCAGATGTCTGTGGGAGGGCACATCTGAGGAGGGTGTTTGAAAATGCATATTCAGAATTACTGTCAAAGAGGTGATAGATGAGACAAGGGGTGTTTAAATGGGAGAAGAGTTCACAAAGGGAGAACTTAATAAGCACCTTTTTCTATTTTAGGTGTTGGCACATGAGAGGGATTATAGATCATCAAGGGAGAAAGAACTTCATTGAAGACTGTTCTTTTCTAAAGCTGGGTCTGCTCACAGACAGAATGGGCTTATAAGGGACTATGCTCCTGGTCACTGCAAGTGAGCAATAAGGAATAGAAGGCCATTTGTCTGCAATGATAATGAAGGGCAGGATGAACCCAAAACAATAAAATGTTTTTCATTACGATCTGACAAGTTTAAAAGTCCTGCTTTTGTGCATGAATAGTTTCTAGATCTTGCTGTTTTTTTTTCTTTTTAAATTTGATGCTTTTTAAAGTATTTCCACTTTAAAGTAGCTTTTGTAGAGAGAATGGCTTCAGGTAATAGGAGAAATCACACAACCAAATACACCAAGTTATTACACTTAAAAAAGGAAACCTTAATATTGACAATGTAGTATCTTAACATTTATTACAATTGTGTGTATTGATACAGGTTAAGCAAGTATGATTAAAAACATTAGGCAATTAAAAAGAAGCAAAAGTGTAAAGCAACCACCACTCTTCCTTGAGTCTGCAGAATTCCTGCCTTTTTAGATTGAAAAGGTTATTTTTGATTGAAATCAACATTGATTTTGCAAGGTTTCTGTCAATCTCTTGCATGTTGGTTCTAAAACTCCCTTTAAAGGCAGAGTGTAACTTGAAGGTAGGGAAGCCAGACTATCTTGGACCTCTTTATCCTGCTCTCCATTAGCTGGTCCTGTACCAAGACTCAGGGATGGAATGTCCCACCCCAAGGAGTGATCTTACCCTTGCTTTCACTCATTTACTCAGCATCTATGTGTCAGTGTCTACCATGTGCAAAGTCTCATGCTGCAGGCTAGACTTCAGAGAGACTAGCTTATATTTAGTGTTGGTAATTGTGCCACTTGTTTTCTCCAGAGCAAATCTGATGCCCATCTATGAAAATAAATGGAATGTTCCACTCTGATCATTTGGCGGGAAGAACAAGTCCACCAGTCAGTGTGCACAGGGCGCAGAAACTTAAGAGAGATGGAGAAACTTTTTGTAATAAAGAGAATAGGCTCTCATTTCTCATTAGAAATACTCCCAGGTTGTTCCTCCCCTTGAGGAGCTTACAGTGTTGCTGGTCCCAAAGGCAGAGGAGCACAATTGAATCTGAGCAGAGCATCACTGACTACATGGATAGGCCTGCAGCTGTCCAGCCAGCCAATAGGTTTCTACTAGCTTGGAAAAGAGTCTGGATTGGACAATAGAAGGCCACTGAAGGCCCTGTGTTCAGATCAGCTAGCCCACTGAAACTTTCCGTGGGGTGACAAACTCCTCTTTAGGAAGGTCTGTGAGTCATATCTCTTCCCGTCTGAGAGCATTTCAGTTCAAAACTGTTTTTACAGAAAGAGGAGGAGAGGGAAGGGGGACAGTTTGGTCCTTGTGGTACTTCATGGGGTGACCCAGGATACCCAGAGGAGGAGTGTGATTTCATACCTTCCCCACGGTGTTAGAGTTTGTCAGGGGGAACTGTGTTACCTGATAAGATTAGGTAACCTCTGCACAGTACTTGGCACATACTCAGCACTAAATCAGTGCTTGCTGTTGTGGTTAGTATTACTGAAGAGACAGCAATGGTTCTGCATAATACAATGACCACCTCTCCAAGCTTCAATATCCTCATAGGTAAACTGGGGACAAGAATACCCTCCACAAAGAATTAGAATGGGCATTAACACCATCACTTTGTGATAATGTGTGGCATGTCGTAAGGCTTCAAGAAACATTAACTGCTTTTCTTCCTGCTTAATCCTGCTGGAGTGTATGCACTCTATATCTACTTTAGAAGATTTCTGTGTAAAGCTTCGGGATTGGGAATTGAGGGCAAAGGTATTAATCAGCTATCAAGATCAGACACAGATGTTCCTTTGGTCAGTAGCCTCCTAACAATCACATCCCATAGAATTTAAACAAAATTGTGTACACTTTCGAATACGTGCCCACATGCCTGCAGGAAAGATAACCTCTACTATATAGTGAAAGGGGGTAGAGGAGGTAATTAAAATCTGCTATATAACTCAATCAAAAGCAACTAACTACTTTTCAAAGTATATGGAAAGTTTAAAATGTATATATGGCAAATAGAGAAATTAAACATTGGCCTATGTCAATCCCTAGCATTCAATGTCTGCAATTTACCCATCAGGGATTGTCAGTAGTCTTCAACCTAGTCCCTCAAAAGCTTCAGGGGTCCCCTTGTATTCTAAAGTATCAAAGGTACACTCAGACCTACAAACCAAAGTGTGATTTGCTCTCTGTCCCAAGTCAGTACACATTGAACCTAATGCCCCTGCCTAAGCCTATCATACCAGGCCACCTAAACTCATCAGGCAGCCGACATGCCTTAGGGAAGCAAAGATGGAATTCTTGTTCAATCTTCTTTGCTTGATCTTGAAATAAGTCATGGATGTGAAGTACTTTCTGAGCTATAAAAAGCTACACACATAAGTAATTACCATAGCATCATTAGCATATGTTATTGGATGTAAGCAAGTTCAACTTGAGAAGGGCAAAGGATGAAGAAACCAAGTGATAAGGGAAGAGCAGCCAGCAAGTTGGGATAACTGGGGATGGCTAGACTTGTGCAGAAGTCATCAGCTTCTTCTTAGCCTGGAGAGCCTAAAAGAAAATAGAAGTAGCCATGAGATTAGAAATACAAATTCAATCCAACAACCAGTCAGAGGCTCTTGGAGTGGGTGACTGCGCCAGGCATCAGGATTAATAGTGCAGGTCAACATGCCTTCTGGAGAGAAGGCAAAACAGGCTTGTTGTTGGTAGAATACTTGGTTGCCACCCATTTCCACAGTCTTCAAGGGAGATATTCTGCTCTGTGCTTCTAGCTGAGGAGGTGCTAAAGAGGAGGGGTTACCAGGATCTGAAAAGGCAGTGTCCTATGGGCACTGGGTTTCATGAAGCTCAGACACTGGGGTTGATTCTGCTGGCTTTTAGCATACAGACTTGTCTGCAGGCAGTATTGACCACGTGGCTCAGAGGCTGACCAAGCAGTTCCTTCTGGTCGGGCCAGCCCCAGAATGGCATCATCCTCTGATACACATGCCTGCTTACCCTGGCCTTTAGCTGCTGCCGCCCGCCCCCTCTGCAGTTGTATCTTATTTTACTAAACACCTTGGCTGTCCAGTTCTTATCATATGCTATACAAGCAATGGTAAAGGTGGCCTAAGGGCCTATAGTAGAGAGCCCTCAACCTGAATCTGAAGTCCAGGGTTGAAGTCCTGATTCTGCCATTGACAAGCTAGGTGTTTCTCCAGGCCCTTTTCCTTTCTAGGTCTTTACTTCCTTGTCCCCCAACAATGGTAACAACACAGGCCTGGCTGGCCTCCCAGAGCAGCTAGAAGGCTCAACTGAGGTGCTGCGGGGAAGGCAGTTCTTGAGAAGAAGAGACTACAACCTCTGCAAATTAGAAGTGTTCCTGAGGAGAGTCTTTCCACCTAAGACTTCAAAGTATCATAGGGCATAGGAACAGAGGACTCAGGGCCCCTGAACATAATAAATGCTAAGAGGGATATCAGTGTCCTATGTTGAGACTCAGAGGGAGACCAGGGCACATTTCTTCCCTCTAATAATCCTGGCTGCTTGGCTTTTGGGGTGACAGCACCCACCTAGAAGAGCTTCTCATAGCATTTTCCACAGTGGATGGTGTCACTGTGAATGAAGATCTGATCCAGGAGCTCACCCATTGGTTTACTGCAAATCCCACACTGTAAGAGAAAACAAGTTACAGGTCAGTACACAAGTGAGACACAGTAAACGAGTGCAGTTGGGGAGGGAGCATCTACCTGACTGAGGTGGGCAGACACTGAGCAGAAGGCACACCCTAGACTTTGAAGTAGATAATTTAAAAATTGCAGAAAACAGATACAAAACCCAAACTGGAAATGAAACAATAAAACCAGACCCCACAAAAACTAGCAGGCGGGATGACTGCATAGTGGTTAAGAGCACAGGTTTCAGAATTGGGCCTGGGTTTGAGCCCTGAATCCACTAAGCAGATCACATCGTTAACGTTAATGAGATGCCAAAGAGACTTAACTTGTTTATATCAATTAGCCAGTACTAAAATTGGTCTTGTACACATTAAAACTGGTTTCAGCATGTAACGTTATATGCTTAAAGTCACAGAACCTATCAATGATGTTAAGTGAGGACTCACTGTACTACACTTCTGTCATTTTAGCTATTGTGGACCAGTTCTTGCACCTCAACCTAGCCAATCGATGGTGCTGATCATTTAGGTGGTAATCTTTAGGAACACAGAAAAAAAAATCAATAATCTTGGCTTGCAATGTGCTTCACACTGTGGAGAACAGGGGCCCTGAAGAGCTGTTATGATGCTGTGGACATGGGTGTCCTCTCTTTTTTCATAATGTAACAATACCAGCTGTTAGGTTTAAAATGTTATATCAACCTAATAAAAGTAAGAAAAACCTACAATTATGGACATTGTCAGACTAATTTACACGAATGAGCTTGAGCAATGGGGTGACCTTTCCTGGGAGGAAGCAGAGTGTCGGCTCTGATGTCAGGACCAGGATTGCAATCCTTGGTTCCGAGCAGCTCTGGAATCCTAGAAAAACAACTCACTTTCTACATCTGTGCTCATGGTCTATAGGATAGCTCTTAGGCAGCCAGTCTGCCTTCCAAGAATCTTCCAAGAATATCAGGCCTCACTGTTTTGTCACAACTCTAACTTCCTGAGCCACAATCAGGCAAGTTTAAAATCCCTGCCCCTCCATGTCTCCTTCTCTGCATCTCCTCCCCAACCTGTGGACCTGCTTTCCTACTCCTATTCCCTCTGTGCCATGGGTGAGGAGGCAGCTGCCTTTGTTCATGTTCAGCCACCTGGAAAATACCTGCATGCCCCTTCAGGTCAGACTCCAGACCCATCTCCCTCACAAAGCCCTCCATCAGTGCTGCCTCTGCTATCTGCTTGCCCTGCTCCCCTGCAAAGCCAACCAAATAAGATAGTCCTCCAGACTCACTTTCTCCATGTCTATATGTCCTGTTCTCCTATTAGTCCCCTCTAATCAGGTTCCTGTCCCCACCACTCATTCACCTCCTTTGACTTGGAAGCTCATTCAACTCCCAATTTTGCAAAGCCTCTCAGATGGAGCTCAATCATACTGAGTTCAAGCCCTCTCCACAGTCTCTGAACCCATAGGAACCCTAACTCTGGACAATGTTCTCAATGGCACCACCTTTCTTCCTTACCTTAAAGCAATAGTCATGGCAGCAAATGCCAAGATGTTCAAGGGTAATCTTTGGACAGTCTAGGATCTCTCTGTTGCAGTAAGTACAGATCCCTCCAGTTGTTCTGTGTGATGAAAAACAAGAACCTGGCGGTCAGGCTGGCATACAGACTACTGATGTTACTAGTCAGACCCTCTGGTTTGACATAGCTAGGCCCAGGTTTGTTGCCACTATTCCTAGCCTGCCATCTTTTTCTGTGGTATGCAATTAGGTACATTGTCATAGGCCAGATTGGGCCTCTGTAGACCCTCACATTATTTCCAGAAAGTGGTCATGTATCTTTATCTTACTTGCTATTGTACGTGTAGACACCCTGATGAGATTCTTATTCCAGGCAGCTTGCCCGTCTCTGCCCCCAGCCTAACATATCTACTCCCCTCTAGAACAGGAAGACCCATGTCTTCCCCTACAGGAGACATGTCCTTGTACATCCTACCTTGCCACCTGTTTTGCTGGCACTTATGTTCACACCCTGGGGCCACTGAGCCCTGACTCTTGGCCCATATACTTTTGGACCCCTGTGATACTCACTGTGTAACTCAGATATCTCAAGACACATTATTTATTCTTCCAGAGCTGTCTCCTTCACTATGACCTGAGTAAACTGCATGTCTAAGAACCTTGCTCCCTTATTCCAAGAACTGAAAAATGGAACTTCTTCATCATTAAGACCATCCTGTGAACTGCTGTCATCTAGTGACAGATTTTGAAACTGCAGAGTAAGGCACTCTCCCCACCTTCACTCATTGCAAATGAATGGTTCCCTCTGGCTCTTTTCTGGCTTTTCCATGATAGTAACCTACTTTTCTTTTCTTCACTTCCCACACACCACTTTCTATTGTAGTTTTTTTCCATCAGATTTGTAAGTTTATAAAGTGATCAAATAGGTTCTAATCCCAAGGACCTTTCCTGCTGACATGAGTCCCTTAGGCTTTCAGACACCACCATCTCCTTTCTCAGTGGCCCTTTGCATTCACTCTGCTCTTAGCTGGGTTCAAAGGCTTTACTTAGTTCACACAAGTGTAACATCTGATAAGGGATACACAGTGGTGTGACATATCTGAAACTGGATCAGAAGCAGCAAAACAGCAGACAAAAACAAGTGAACAGAGTGGCAATCTCCCTCTGCTGTTTCCCCTCTGTAGACCTGCAACCTTCCTGGTAAGACAGCAGACTTACCTCTCAAAGTATGGTGTGCTGGCATATGGGGGTTTCTTCTCCATGTTGAAGGAGTCCTCAGTGCTGCTGATGCTGCAGGGATGTGGTGGGGAAAGAGGAGGGCAGAAAACGAGAGCGAGGTCACTACCACAGTCATAAGTGAGGATGCTTTTCTCATTAATACTGTGGTCACAAACTGAGGCATGACTGCACCGCCAGCCATTATCTGTTATGCTAAATGGTAGGGGAAGTGTTAAACTTGGTGCCAAGGATGCATAATTCTCTTGGAGAAGAGCCCTTGCATGGGAGTCAAAGAGGATCTGCCATGGTGAACCATGTCTAGGATTTTTGAGGGTGTGTATACCATGAGGACCCCCCATTTTACTGCCCAGTGGGAAAAAGAACAGGGCTTTTTCTCCTCACCTATATGTCTGTACTGTAATGTGCCAGTCACCAGGAGCCACTCATAGCAGAAATTAGATAGTAGAAATGGGGACAAAGAAAACATTCCAGTGTAATACAGGGTGAGAATAGGAGTGTCAGGTTTTTCTTCTTCATCATTTGTCAACAATATGACTTTATAATAAAAAGTAATGGTTTAAAAAATTAAACTATTGCCAGGAAAGGGTGATTAAGTACACACCCTGTGGTAAACTTTAGTGAAGCTGCCATTCTCATGGGAAACATATGGTGACCCCCCTTAGGTAGTCAGGAAAACTGACTGAGAGGTTAAGCAACCTGCCTGTGGTCACACCCAAAGGAAGGGGTGGGTTAGAGTTTCAGCCCAGGCTCTGATTTCTTCTGAACATTATGCTTACCTCTAAGCCTCTTCAGGCAAAAGGGGAAAACACACTGGACTACACAATTTTCAGTATCCAATAAAGAAAGTCTACTGGTTTGGCACAAGATGTAACATTTTCGATGAATGTTAAATTCAGTTTTAAAGTAGACTTACTTGTCAGAGTATAAGAAATAAACTTAACAGTGGTGAGACTGGGAGAAGAAAAACCAGAAGATGGACAAAGTTCAGTCAAGTGACACTCATACAGGCAAATGCTAGATGGCTAGGGCAGTTCCCCTGGGGTGCTGGAAGTTTTTCAAACATTATTTCTGACCTCAAAACTTCTCTGAACAAAGCTATGGTGACAGAAAGTAGATCAGGGGCTGAGGCTGGTGGTGTAGAGAGTTGCTAATGGATACAGGGTTTCCTAAGAGTGATGAAAATGTTTATGGGGAAGTAGATAGTGGTAATGGTGGCACAACATTGTGAATGTACTAACAACTACTGGACTGTACACTTTTAAAATGAACTTTATGATAAGCAAATTATATCTAAGAAAAGTTGGCGAGGAAAAACCACCCTAAGGAGTTACAGATGAAGAGACTGAGTCTCAGAAAAGTTAACTATCTTGTCCAAAGTAATCCAGCCAATGGGGGCAAGGTGGGGCTTGAATATGACCCCCATCTTCATGCTCATCATTTCAGAGCACCAGTGAAAACTTGTCCAGAATCCCCAGAGGACCAATCCTGAAATAAAACCAGGATGCTTCTCTCTGTTACTAAAATCCTCACCCTAGCAGTGAGATGGTATCTCCTAAAAAAACATTCCCAGGGGGATGCTGTCTCAGTGTGTGTTTTTTGTTTAGCATCACCCAAGAACATGCCTATTGATTTTAGAGGTGGGGAAAGGAGGGGAAGAGAGAGGGGGAGAGAAACATTGACATGAGAGAGAGACATTGATCAGTTGCCTCTCACACACGCTCAACTGGGACTGAACCTGCAACCCAGGCATGTGCCCTGACCAGGAATAGAACTTTTGAGTCTTTGGTATATGGAATGACACTCCAACCAAATGACCCATACCGGCCATGGCTGTGTGGATTGTTTTCAATTGATGTGGTATGGAGGAACCCTTCCATATGGCTTCAGGAAGCAAACAAATGAAGACATGATAAGTGAAGAGTATGCATATATCAGGATCTGAAGTCAAATGTGTGTTCATATGAGGCAATCTGACATGCTGGAAAGGGTATGGGAACTGAAGAGAATAGTCTCATGTTCTGGAACAAGATTAAATTAACCATGTGGTCTCTAAGGGTCCCATTGCTTCTGTAAGCAGTTGTGTTCTCAGTAGTTCTCAAAAAAAAAAAAAGCTACTCTATAGAGAAACAAAGACAGGCGGAAAGGGATGGCACTGTAAGATGGGTGTAGAATGACTTAATGATACAGGGGGAACATGAATGCACTGAGATAGGCAGAACAGCTGGAAATGCATAGATCATGTCTGTAGGCAGTTACATTATTCATCCATTCAACAAATGATTACACAGAAGCTACTCTAGGCAAGTCCTGGATGAGGTACTGGGGATGCAGGAGTAAGGACAACACAGTGCCCTGCAGGAGAAGGCCACAACATGAACTATTCAGGGACTTGCTCTTACCTGCTATAGTGTGAAGACACCAGCTTCCTGGAAGATACCTCACTGGCATTCATATACTCCTTCATGAAGAGAATCCCTTTGCTGTAGATTGAGCACAGCAAAACAGAAAGAGGTATACTGAAAGATTCCAAGGGACTGGGCCTGGCTCAAAGGAGAGGTTCAGTGCTGGGAGGATCCCCCAGCTGGTTGAATGGAAGCAAGGGAGCTAATGGGAAGGCCCAGGGGCAGAGGTGCTGGTGTGCTCCAGCTGCTGCTGGGCAAGGACAACAGCAAAGGGAATCTGCCAGACTGCTGAGCCCACTGGGAACTCAGGCTGAAATCAGAGCCCATGGGTTCAGCTTGCTGTGTATGGAGGTGAGAGCCCTACCTAGAAAGAAGGTCCCTGCAGCAAGTGGTGATATGTTCTCCTCCTTCACACAGATATCAACACAACCAGAGGCCACCCCACCCCACTGACTTCAGTACAGTGGACTCTCCATCCTTCCTCTCTGACTGCATTTTGTTCCCCTTCTCCTGGGACCAGGAGAACCTCCAACTCTCAAACCTAGACTGTTGGTCCTCTCCAGTCTATGAATCTCCATCAGTAATCTAACCTCTCCCTTGTCATTCGTGGAGGTCCAGAAGCTCAGAAGGTATCTCATCTTGGCCAGGCCCCTGGTGACATTAGAACCAAGAAATGTCTCATGCTCAGCTGACCACATTCCCAAATTTACCCATTTCTGTGCCTGATGTCAGCAGAGGCACCTCTGAGCCTCCCCCAACACAAATCTCACTCAGCCCCCCCATAATGGTTCCCTTCCTACACTCTAAAATAGTAGGTGAGGCCAAGAATGCAGGTGAGGGAGTGGGTATGTGCCTTTCCTTACAATGGGTAACAAGAGGGAGACAGACATACGTCTGATCCTCAGAGGGGTTTCTTTGGCCTTTCCAACAATGTTCCCTAAAAGTTATTACCAATGTCCTATGGATGGCAGAGCCCTAGGAAGTATCACGTCAACTTATTGGGATAGGGACTCAGGCTGCGCTATGTTGCCCCTTAACCAATGGGCTGCTGGGAGTTGAGGGAGTCACTAAAGTTAATATCAGGAAAATGACATGAGACAGAAGCCTAGTCCTTTAGCTCTAGGGAGGAAACAGCCCAGAGAACATGTCCCAGGTTGTTCTTTCTTACCTGGTTGAGCTGGGGTCCAATTCACTTGGGGAGGCTGGGATGTAAATGTGAGACTGCTCAGTGGCAGCAGTGACTGTAACAGTGACCACACAGCTTGAGGGGTTTCTCACCATGAAAGAAGTAGAGGAAAGGGTGAGTGTACTCATACAGAAAGTTGACCTCAAACAGGGTCAAACAGGGCTTTCGAACCCTAATCTTCAGATGGCCTTTCAAAGAGTTTTTCTAAAAATGCCAATGTTTTTGAAATAGCCCTTGCAAATCATTGAGCTTTTGCTGTTCAAGACTCCTGAGGTCAATAGGTGGTACTACCCACTTTACAGATGAGAAAACCTAAGCTACGTGAGCCAGGTCACCCTGTGGGTCAGTGGCAAGACCCTAATCTTCCAGTATCTACCAGAACTTCCCATTGCAGCCAAGAACCTTGGCCTGTGACTTACTTGCTTAGAGCACAACCATGGAGCTACTAGGGACTTGACAGACACAGCCCAGCTCAACCCCTCAAGGGACAGGACAGCCCCTTCCTAGGATCAGCTTCCCCTCCTCCAACCTGCCAGTGAACTCTTTGGAGAATACAAGGCTGAGGGAGAGAGGGACAAATGAATTTAAGCATCGCAAAGCAAGAGACTTGGATGCAGTTCATTCTGGAAGGCATCACCCAAGAGTAGAGGCAAGAAACGGACAGGTATAATGGTTTTTATGAATCTCCATCTTTGACTATAACATATATAGCCGTTGCCCTGGAATCTGACCTAGACAGATTACAAGGTTTTTCTCTGGCCAGGCCCCTACTTACTCTCACTTTTCTTGCTCCCAGGTTACCCGTCCCATGCTAAAGCTGCTGCAGCTGCCCAGTGCAATTAAGGGCATCCTGCTTGGCACCACCACTGCCACTCCTGCCACCCCTGTCCCATTTTTGCTATCCATATCACATCTGTCCACTGTGCAGGAGCCTCAGGCCAACTCTATGGGTGTACACTGCCCTGGGCTGATTTTAGTTTCTCTCCAACATGCTGCTGTTCAGATCATGCTCTGGACGTGGTCTGCCTCCACCTTGACTAGTCTCTGGGGTATCATTCCCTTGCCAGAGAATCCAGTGCCCAAGACCTCAACGAGTTTAAGAGTGGGGATCAAGGTATTTGGCACCCTTTTATCCACACCCAGTACAACAGTCAGGTAGATAGCAGAGCTGAGGGAGCAAGGTAAAACATAATACCATGGGGATCCCTCCAGGACTGCCATATGAGCAATGGGAAACCTCCAATTACTGAAAACCTCCACCTCCCTCCTGTAGCCTCTTGTCCCACTAGCCTGCAAGGTACAGCTCTGGCCCCACCCACCTGATCTCCTGTCCCTTCCTCACTTCACTTCCTGCCCTCCAACCACAGTGACCTCCTTTCAGTCCCTTGTTATAGGTGGCCTCTCATTGTGACCTCTGTACATGCTGTTTCCTCTACCCATGTTTTGTTTTTCCAGGTTCTTTGCCAGGCTAGCTCTTCCTTGTGGGTTAGGTCTCAATTGAACTGTCCCTTTCTCAGCAGGAAAAGTTTTCAAAGACCATCCTAGCTACAACAGCCCCTACCCTAGCCTCTCTCTACCAGAGCATTTAGTTTCTTTCTCTTCTGGGCTTATCACAAATAGAGAGGCAGCAGATTAGCAGCACAGCAATTAGTAGTACAGGCTCTGGGCTCTGACTGGGTTCTAATCCCTGTTAGGCTCCTGGGTTGGATGAATGTTTGCAAGCTATTTAACTTCCCTCTGCCTCAGTTTCTGATCTGTAGAACAGAGATAACAGTACCTCCCCATAAGGTTGGTATGAGAACTGAGTATGCATAAAGCACAAGAATGGTGCCTGCACATTCTCAGCACATGGCAAGTACTAATAGGTATCATTATAATGTTTTTGTTATTATATTTATTCATGGGTATGCTGTGTGCCCTTTGAGGGCAGGTGAGCAGGGCCCTGGCCATCTTGTTCAACATGTTTATGGCTACTGCCTACAACTGGCTCACATGAAGCTATTCCCAAATTCATGGCCACATTGGGAAAAGATCTCTGGGGAGCAATGGGAGCACCTAAATGCTGTCATGCAAGGCAAAACTGGTGGTGGGAGCAGTAGAAGACTTCATTGGACTTCCTTTATCTTTGGCAGGGAGTCCCATACACACCAGGGCACACATTCCTCAGAGATCTTCCATCTCCATGAATGGCAAAGGCACTCCACATCTCTCTCTAGAGCCAGGTATTCGTGGTTCAGATAGCTGCCAGACAACATGGTTCTCTGTGCCAGACTTGGTCTAACAGACTTGATGCTGTGGTTCAAAACTAAAGTCCATGTACACCTATCCCTTGGATGCTAATTGCTGGTCAGCTTCCCACTGGCTCCTAACCACTCACACCTGCAGAAGGTAAATGGCATGCTCAGTGTGTCAGGGTTTGTTCTGGGCTGTGAACCATGAGAAAACCCTGCCTGTAGGAGCAGGAGCCCAGCAGAATATAGCACAGAGAACTCTTACCTGCTGGCCTGGCTCTCCAAATCCATGAGCTGCTGGGGTTTTCTGGGGCTGCCCTTCCCCTCTGCAGTGCTGGGGTCTTCAGGCTTCTGGGAAAATGCAGCTGGGTCTTCCTGGCCACCACACAGGGCTCCAGGCTTCTGCCAGTTCTCCCCCAGCTTGCTGACCACATTTGTCTCCTCAAAACCAGCCAACGATCTGAGGAAAAATGAGTGTCCTTATGGAGCAAGTATTGTGGGACTGGTGCCTGCTCACCCACTGCAAGCTGATGTCACCACCCATGGGCACGGCAGCTCCTCTCCTGGAGGGTGGTACAGAAAAGAATGCAGCATGTCCCCCATATCGGGTAGCAGTCTATTTCTTCCTCAGGAGGACCTCAGTACTCCTACTCCCTTCCCACTGACAAAGGCCATCCCCACATGTGGTAGGTGAAGCCAAAGTCTTTTATGCTTTTGCCAGCCCATTAATTCAGCAGGGAGGGAGTGGCTTCCTGACTGCCCCAGGCATCAAGGTCTTTGGGAGGTCTTCTTTCTTCCCTGGCCTCATATCACACCAACATCTATACACCCCTCCTAACACCATCCCCTTCCTAAGTAGCTTCCAAGGGCTTTGCTCTCTCTGCTGGTCCCTCCTCCAGAACCTGTATCCTATGTGATGGTGCTGTTGCCTGGTGGCCTCAGACACTAAAAATGTCATGCCCACTAGGCCACAGGCAAAGAGTAAGTCAGGTTATTGAGAGCATAAGCCCAGCATTCCGTAAAATGAAAACCGAGTTCACCATCACCTTGACTCTGGCTCATCCTGAACTCAAACCTCCCACGATCAGCAGCCTGCCTTCAATTGATGGCAGGTTTACCCAGGGACAAGAAGACCACACCAACACCTACATCCAGCCCTGGGACTCGTTATTTATGAAAGTTAATCCCATAACAGGAAGACTCCCTGCCTTCAAGCAGGAATAAGAGGGAAGCAATTATCATATTGGCCCATTTTTTAACAGTATGCCCTGAAAGCCCCTGAATGTGACTCTTCAGCCTCGGGTGGAGGGAACCAAAATACCTTAGCAAGGAGAAGCCAAATACCATTTCCAGCTATACCTGGCCAATCTGCAGGCAAGTGGGTACTGTGCCTTGTTGTGCTGCTTTTACTGACAGTTTGCTGCAGCCCAGCCAGTTACCAAAAGTGTTCTGCTTAGATAATGCCAGTCCTTTAGCAGCAGGATACCCTGACATACCATCTTCAGCTCTGCCTATGACACACAAAGATAAACCTGGAAGGCCTAAAGAGTTTGTCTGCTGACTGGGAACTCTGAGGCAGCTTTACTGTGGACTTAAGAGTCCTGTTGTATCCCATGTCCTGTATAGAATTATGGTAACAGAGGTTATCCTCACCAAATTTGTGAATAAAGCCAAAATTGTCTTCAAAGAGCAATTTGGGGGCCTACTGCAACACAGGGACAAGTATGAATAATGGTTTTTCACTCTCGGCCTACAATTGTAAGAGGTGTAACCCATCTGACATATAAAAAGAAATCTTAGTAAAATGTCACAGGAAATCTTGCTGAGCAATGTCACAGCCTAGAGGTCTTCCAGGCCCATAATGAATTATCTGGAAGTCAGGCATTTAGAGATAGGCAAGGTAATACTTCTAGCTTTAACTAGATCAAAGATCTAGTGGCCCAACACAGCTACCACCAATTCTCAACACAATCACAATCACTGCATGGAAAAGAACACCACCTTCCACTCTTGTACCACCTCCAACAGACTCCTCTACTGGTTGACAGTAGTTGTTCACAGTGAGTACATTTGCTTCAAGTTCACCTGTTCTTCATGCAGAAAGACAATAACCCAGAATGCCCAGATTGAAAAAAAATAAAAGAAAAACAGCTTATGTGTTAGATTAAAGCCTAATAATACAAGTTTTGTGGAAATAATATGAGCTACTCTGTGTCTTAAGTGAAATCAGGCCAATACAGCTGGTAAAGGGGAGCAGAAGCCAGCTTTCCAAGTGTCCTTGAATAGTTACGTTGGAAGAAAATATTCCTCTGGACTGCTTATTTATCTCTAAGTTTGTGCCAGGAAATGCTTTACACATACAAATCCATTAACTCTATCAGCAACCCTGTGTGACAGGAACTATTATGTCTATTCTAAAGGTGAGGAAATTGAAGCACAGAGTTGATAATATACTCAAGGCCACAGGACAAGTCACAGAGTTTAGATTTAAAATCAAGCACTGGAGTCCAGGCTCTTAATCACTGTACCATATCACCTCTTTCTAATGCGTGCTGAAGCAAAACTAAGTTAGAAAGGGTAGAATTCCTTAAGTTTAAGACAGTTCCACTGCCCTACAGAATCTCGCCACCCACCTCCATCACCCTTCCTCACCCAACTCTTGGGAACTAAGCCCCTCCCCACGGAGCCCCAGAACCCAGAGAAGGTAGGTCCGCTCTGGGGTCCCTTGTGAGTGGGTGGTCCATCTGCCCTCCCTATGTGTCACAGCCCATAACCCCAGACAGCTCTGAAGACCAGGGTCCAGGAACGACTGTCTCCAGGGCACCCTGCCAAACACGATCGGACCACAGATCCCCTTTCGGCTGCTTGCAGGTCTTCAGCTCCCTTCCTCTCTCCCATCTCCGCATGGACTACGGTGGTACAAGAGGCTTTAACACCAAAGACAGGGGCCAGGCCAACGGGGGGGGGGCAGCTGGAGTTCACGGAGTCCCAACCCATCTGTGATCCTCGCGCGCCATCTGTTGGCCGATGCGGGCACAACTATAAGAGAAGCTCTGAGGAAACCATTTTCTGGGTGGTCAGCCATTTCACTTTGTGGATGGTCACATTTCCCGACAGGCACTGCGTCCAGAATTTGCGGCTGCAGGGAAATGGCGGCTTGCGCGCGTGCACGCACACACACGCGCGCGCGCACACACACACACGGGGTCAAACCCACACGCCGGGGCGCAGGCTGGGAGCAGGCGCATGCATGCACAGACGCACGCAGAAAGGTTTCATGCTTGTGCGCAGGCGCACGCATGCACGAAGGCTAGAAGCAGGCGCACTCACAAGTTCAAGCCACGCACACACAGGCGCACGAAGGTTTCATGGTGGTGCGCAAGCCCGCGCACGCACGCAGGCTGGGAGCAGGCGCACACACGCACGAGCTCAAGCCACGCACGCACAGGCGCAGTAGAAAGGTTTTATGCTTGTGCGCAGGTGCGCACACACACGCAGGCTAGAAGCAGGCGCACGCAGGAGCTCAAGCCACACACGCACAGGCTCAGGAAAGTTTCATGCTGGTGCGCAGGCGCGCGCACGCACACAGGCTGGGAGCAGGCACGCGCGCGAGCTCAAGCTACGCACGCACAGGTGCACGCAAAAAGGTTTCTTGCTGGTGCGCAGGTGTGCACACGCACGCAGGCTGGGCACTGGGCCCAGGCCGGGCGCAAGGCATGCACACACAAGCGCGTACAGGGTCTCACGCCCCACTAGATGCAAACGTGCAGGCGCGCATCTTCTCTCGCTACTCAGACCCCCGGAAGATTCAAAGTTGCTCTCTGTGTCCACCCTTTTTTCTTCGCAGTCCAGAATCTCCTGGCTTTCCATTAAGGTCGTGAAAGCTCTAGACAGGGTTTGTCAACTCCGTCTCTGTTGACATTTTGTAATGGATAACTCTGTGGTGGGGTTACCCTGTGCACTGTACGACTTTGGGCAGCATTCCTGGTTTTCGCCTACTATTTTTCAGTAGCACCTCCCTTCCAGCTGTTAGAATCAGTAGTGTCTCCAGAGATTGCTAAGTGACCCCTGGAGGGTGGGAAGGTTCTGAACCACTATTCTACAACAATGGTTCTTAATGAGAACCATTGAGAATAAACTGGGAGCTTTTAAAAAGATATTGATGGCCCTGGCTGGTGTGGCTCAGTGGATTGCGCTGGCCTGCAAACCAAAGGGTCGCAGGTTTGATTTCCAGGTGGGGCACATGCCTGGATTGTAGGGGGCACATGAGAGGCAACCACCTATTGATGCTTCTCTCCCTCTTTCTCCCTTTGGTCCACTCTGTCTAAAATATAAATAAATATTTTTTAAAAAGAAAAAGACATTGATGGCGGAGCCCCACCCCAGAACAATTAAATCTAATCTCTGCGTAGAGCTCGGGAAGCTTTTTTTTAATGTTTAAAAACACTTCCTCAGTGATTCCCAAGTGCAGCTACAGTTGTAAAACACTGTTCAACAAAGTTTGTATTGATTTTTCAAACTTTTATGCATCAGAGGAAAATGTCGTTTCCAGCCTGGTCACATGTAAAGTAGTAACTGCAATGTGGTGTGAAAATGCAAAAATGCACTCACCTTTTAAACATCTAAATTACATCATGTTTCTCTTTGGCTTAAATTTGAAATAAGATCCAACCTCCCTTTCATGTCTTACCAAGGCTTTGCTCCATCTATGGTTCCCCTCACTGGCAAGGCTCCATCCAGCCACTGTGCTTTGGTAAATGCTGAGGAGGTTCCCACTGCAGGGTTTTTAGGTTTTTGGTTACCTGCATGCAGCTCTTTTCTGCTTACTCTTCCTAGAGTTAGTTCCTTCTCATTAGGGAAGCTTTGAGCCACCTCCCTCTCCCTATCCACCTAAGCAGTAGCCCCCCTCACTGCCATTGTTCTTTCTCAACTCTGACTATTTCCTTCAGGGCACCGTTCTTCCCAGGAGGCACAGAGACCTGGGTTCCAAGTCTTTGTTCTTCATTCTAATTAGGTGCAAATATTGCAGGATTGCGGGGAGGACTGTATGAGACATTGTGAGCACAGGGTTGTGCACAAAGCATGTGCCCCCAAACTCAGTAACTGTTGTGATCTTTAACAAACTTCCTGTTCCATCATTCCCTCATAAGAACCCTCAGTGCCAGTCACACAGTCACACTCAGCTACATAGAGTGCCTAGGAAGCACCAGGTTTATTGGAGTCCTTTGCATATACTGTTCCCTTTGCTTAGAGGACTCCTATTCACTTTTCAAGATTCACTTCAAAACCCACCTTCTCCATGAAGCCACTATGCTTGCCTTTCTTCCTGTGCTCCAGCATGATATGTTGTTCCTCTCTGGGCCAGGCTTTGCTCCCCATCAGCCATGTCTGATTTGTCTGTGTACTTCAATCTTTAGCACAGGGCAGTTGCTGTCTGAGTGGTTGCTGACTGAAAGAGTGGGTGACTTCCTGATTGTGGAGGACTTCCTGGCTAAAGGCAACACGATGTATTGGAAGGCTCCATGGACACAGAGGCAGAGGCTACAGGGTTCCAACTGGGGTTTCGGCCCTTGCCATGTGCCTTGGGCTGACTCATAGGCCTTGCTGGCCTCACCTTTCCAGCCAAAGGCTAATGTAAACCTGAGCTGCCTCTCTCCACCACAGAAGCTCAGCACTGCTGGCTGATGTCTTACCCCTTCAAGTTTGCTTCCATGTTCTCCAGGTCTGCTAGGCTGTCACTCTTTATGTCAGCTGGTACAGAAGAGGCCAAAGTGGCAACACAGCTGAGGGAGGAAGCACATAGAACCATTGAGACCACAGATCAAAGGAGACTGGGGGCCCAGGCCTTCCCCTTCCCAGCTGCCTTCTCACATGAAGGGGCACCTATATCTCTGTCAGTAAATGCTGACCTCTCAGCTTTGCCATTAGTGTGGGACAGACACTACTATGGGCGATAAAATTTTGTGAGCCCTGGCTGTGGTCTCAGCACCTGAGTTCAAAACGAAGTATAACCTGACCAGCGTGAGGGTTCTGGAGAGAAGTCTCTTGATTTTAGATTTCAGTGTCTTTGTCTTACCAACACCACTTGGGAATCCAGAAAGATCGTCCCTCACTAAATGTTCTACACACTCACAGCAAAATGGCCACTCTCACTGGTGGACTGGTAGATGAAATAAAGCAGAAGCCTGCAATGTGGGAATGCATAACTTCTTCCCATCGTACCTTTGTGCCCCTGGAGCCATGTGCCCTCCCCAGCTGCCTCCATGTGCCCTGGGATTCCTCTCCCTGGCTCCTGCTTGCTGGGCCAGGTTGCAGTCCCCACAGGACTGAGACCTCCTAGCAGGGTGTCTTTCCAGCTTCTGCCTCCTGATGTGCCCTTTCTGCCACCTCAACTTGGGTCCCTGTGGGTAGGTGCTGGGCTATCTGGGTCCCCTGACTTATCATTTGTCTTCCCTCCCCTACTGCCCCTAGTGTGTGTTGAGCTGCAGGTCAGGGACCCTCCCAACCTTCTTTTTCCTGTGGTGATCACCTGATAGGAAGGTGGTGTGGACCTGAGAAGTGTGAGGGGTATTCTGGGGCACTGGAGCTGAGGTTGAACCCTTAAGGCTGTATCTGGCAATGGGAATGATCACCAGATAGTTGCCCAACCCTTACCTGGTGACCGCTGATCCAGATTTACGAGGATGAGAGTTGGCACTAAGCACATCCTCATCATCCAGGAGAGGGGTGAAGCCAACAGTTGAGCACACCCTGTGAAAGGAGGCCAAGCTCAGTCTGGGTTCAGGACTTCATGTCTGTATGTCTGCTCCTTTCTGAGAGGGTAGCTTCTCATTTTGACAGATAATGGGAACTGAGGAGCCTCTCAAATGGATTCTCAGGGCATAATACTCATAATTCACAGCCACCTGACACCAGGGCAGTGTTGTCTAGTGGTTAAGTCCATTCTCCCTGGAGGCACATTGCCTGGATTCAAATCACAGCTTTGCTATTTCACATCACCTGACCTTGTGACCTCATGTGACCTTGGACACATCACCTAAGTTCTTTGGGCCTCAGTTTTATCTTCAGTGAAACAGGGACGATAATTGTGTCTGCCTCATAAGTGTTCTGAGAAGAGTAAATGAGTTAATAGATGCCAAGTACTTGGCATCTATTATGCCAAGGTACTAGCATGGGCCCTAGCACGTGCTAAAGTGTTCCTGTTATTAATACTGAGCCCCATGACCATTTACAGTTCATCTGTACCCATAAAACTGATACAGATTGGGTAGGTGCTCTGTTACTCAGCCTTCCCAGGGCCAGGCCACATTCTCCACCTCTCAGTCAAACTGACCCTCACAGAACGCCAAGCAATCACAGATCACAGGATATCACCTATGCAATGCAAGCCTTCACCATTCATTTACATAGCACACTCACTAAGAGTTTCTGGTGTTTGTTCCTAAACCTGTTCACGCCAATTGTACTTGCAACCATAATCATTAAATTATTAAGTAAACTCATGAAAAGTAATGGAAAAGAGAGGTTGTTTCTTCCATGAGAAACAACCTTTTCTTTGGAAAGACAGTAAAGGCAAATTTCTTAAAAATCATTGTCAAAATCAGTGTAGGTAAGACAACATAAAAAATTGGGTTAAAAAATCATAGAAATCTAGATGTTTCAGCTTATTTTGCATTAATTTGAAGTTTGGCTTCATTTTAAAGAAACTGAAAGCAGCAAGCAAAAGCTTCATTTTGTGAGGGTATGTAAACAGGAAGGATGACCTGGATGAATATTAAAAAATGAAGCAGTGAAGAACCAGACCCCATGACATTGGACCAGAGGTCCTCCATGACAGCCGTCAGCCAGCTGAGTCAATCTGCACAACTTGCTGGCTGGCACACAGTGATGCAGGCTGCAGGTGTTGGCTCTCACACAGTCCTCTCCATAAGTGACAGCTCAAAGAACTGAGGCCCTGGCCCAGTGTCCTTTCCTGCAGCCTGATGAGGCAGAGTAGTCAGAGGCTGGGGCTTGCTGTCCCCTTCCCATATTGGATTGGGCTTCTGGATTTAGAAGTTGGGGTTCTGGGTCCAAACATCGGTTGCAAAGTAGTCAAGTTAGTGAGGGTAAGGGTGCCCCAGTGGGCCTGGGGAAGCAGGACCAGCTGGGAGGGCCAGTGGGGAAAGCAGTTGGCAGGGCATCCTCCTCAGGATGCCCTTGGAGGCCTGACTGCCCTAGGGCAGGGTGCTGGCAGGCAGTGTGCAGGCAGGCTCTCTGCAGGCACTGGGTTTGCCATTCTTCTCTGGCCACGTGTTCTGAACCATAAGGGTTCTAGCACAGCATGAAGCTGAACTACCTGTGCCAACATCTACATACCTAACCTTTGTCACCAGGATGACTCATGTTTGGTTTGGAACCACTTGGGGATAGTTGGGACCTTGTTACTTCCCAAATCACCTGAGAAAGTGGCCCTAACTCTACCCAGGTCCAAGAACTTAGGGTCCAGCTTGTCTCCTAGCTTGTCTTACTGGGTCCACTGCTTTTCCTCTTATGAAAACTCAGTGAAGAGCTGGCCAGAGAGAAGGGTGGGGTGGGAAAAGAAGGCTTTGGGGCTTTTGGACGAGAAGGGAGAAAGCAGATCCTAGCTTGTTCTCAGAGCTCAGCGAAGAAGCAAGAAGGCACCAATTCATTCATCATTTGGTCATTCATTTGTTAGTTTGTCCTTTCACTCATTCTATCTACCCAGTGCCTGCCCAGGCAGGGGCTGGCCCTCCAGCTGCAAGTGGGTCCTTTGCCTGCTCTGGAGGAGCTTGAGAGCCAGTGGCATAGGGGAGGAGGAGGAGTAAGATTCAAGTGTCGATAATTGCCAGAAGTGGTAATCCTAGGCACAGAGGATGTGGTGGGTGCTGAAGTACTGGAGATGGAGATGGAGTATGGAAATGGCCAGTGCTCTGCCCCCAGCAGCCCAAGCAGTTTGAGCTGCTTGACCCTGGCCTGTCACCAGGGACATGAGAGAATCAACAACTTGGGGCCACCTGCTTTCTCTGGGCAGCTCACCCTCCTCTTCCCGGACTGATGTCTGCTCCAGTCAGGCCTTCAGGTAGGCAGCCCGTGGCTCTGGATTCCACGATGCCATCCCTTGATAGTGCATGTGACCTGTTGTGGAAAGAGAGGCATGTGCCAATTCTGATTGGATTTTGATTTAATCCAACTCACATGTCCTGAGAGTGGGCCTCAAGGACCAGAAACCTGGACCTGGGCTGTCACCCTGCACTGCTTCAACTGGAACCAAGATAATATCAGCAAGTATTTCTGATTTTCTTCCAAACCTTTTGGGCTGGGAGCAGGAGTGGAATCAAGAAACAGAGCAAGGTAGCAACTCAGGAGGAGGGTAGCACAATGTTGGGGCAATAGCCAACACAACATGGCACAGGCATTTGGGGCCACTAGTAATTAAACCATAGATCCTAGAGCAGAGACAAGTCTCCCCCACCCATCCTGGGTCCCCCTTCCCTCATTCCCATTGCTGAGTCTCAGCTAGAGTATGAGGATCCATACTAGAAGATGGTGGGCACTTATCCACTACTGGCTACTAGCTTCATGCTGAGGAAATGCCCAACTTTCAGCCACTGATCACCACACCGAGGCTCCTCTGGTCAGTGGGATGGTTGTAGGATGGCTGGGCACAACTACCCGCTTTGGACTCATCATTCCTCACCATGCCTATATCTCCCATCCTTGCCCTCCCCATGCTTCCCTTTGTCCACAGATCATCCCGGAAGTCCCTGTTAGATGCTCTGCTGGGGCCTACGCATACTTTGGTCACTGACTTTCCCATATTGATAGCTTGGCAGTCTTGCTTGCCCTGGACACTGGCAGGGCTACTTTCAATGGAGTAAAAGCACAGTGAGGTTGGGCCACGGGCTGGAGTAGGGGTGGCCTGGCCCTGAGTTTTATCTTCCTCTGCAACTGGTTCCCTGAGGGACCTTGACAGGAGTCTTCCCCCTCTCCAGTCCTCATGTATTCCTTCATTCATTTTTCCAACAGATATTGACTGAGAACACAGTGAGTAGAACAGTCCTGATCCCAGTTCCATCCATAGATCTTGGACTGGAGGCCACATGGGCTCTATGTGTCTCTACTGGATCCCACTAGTTACCTTTCAGAGTCTGGATTGGGGGCCTTAAAGGCCTCCTCAGCAGCCAAGTCTCTCTTAGGCTCTCTGGGACTGAGGGTTTCCTTATCTTTGGAATCTGGGGGAGATCTAACAGAGGAAAGAAACATACGTTAACAAACCAGCAGCCACCCACACTCAGGTAGAGGCAGTTACCTCATCCCCAAATGTCAGCTGTCTCCATGGAGCTTAAAACCTCATATTTCAGGATTGACCAATTCTCAAATCTCATTACTAATAACTACTGTTGATTGAGGACCAGACCATGGCTCTGCATATATTAACTCTCCACATCACTCCAAAGACAGGGGTATCGTTATTATCCATGTCTACTTTCCAGATGAGCAAAATGAGGCAGAGAGCCCAAGTGACTAATCCCAAGTTCCACAGATAACAAAGGGGAAGAGCAAGGAATCGAACCCAGGCAATCTGACTTCAGAGTTCTGAACTATATATAATCTTCTGTGGTGTAAGACTGATCCTGACCTCCTAAATTCAACCTCTTTCTATTCTGAGGTTATCAAGGAGCTTCATGGTGTCAAACAGAACAGAGACGCTTCTATTATTATTGCCATTCAGGACCACTGACCCAGTGGAACATTACCACCTTCTCTCCTCCACCCATCCATCATGGCTCTGTGACATCACACTCTGCCTCCTTTGCCACACCTTCCAAGTCTACTTTGCCTTTTTCTCTTCAGCCCCTTAAACTTTGATGTTTCTAGTGTTCATCTCGATCTGCATGCTCTGTCACCTTGGCCACCTCCTCTGTTCCCATGCCATCAACAGGCCCCCTCTCTTGTTCCCACCTCTCCTCATGTTCCTGACCTATACCCCCACTGTCTCCCAGATATACCTTCTGGAAGCTAATGCTAAACCTGGCCAGACCTGACTACTGCCCCCAGCTTCCCTCAGGGAGGATGACCAGGCAGCTGCCTCCTCCCTACTGTGGCCCCTGTCTCCTTGATTACCTTGACATTGTACCCCATGTAAACATGAACATTAAGCCCCATTATTTCAGCTCTCATCTGTCTGCATGTAACATGGAAATATCCTGAGCCTTGACCTCTCTCCCATACCTCAGCCACAAACCCTCGAATTCCTCCTAGTAATGTGCATCTAGATGCCTACAAATAGTCTCACCATATATTCATGCAAAAAATACTAAGTATTTGTATCACTCCTTCCCTCAGTTCCCACTACTGTAGTGAGTTATGAAACAAAAAGTGCAGGGTGGAAGCCAGGCAGTCTGGGTGGGAGTCTTGGATATGCCTGCTCTTGGCTGTGTGTCTCTTCAGGGTCTGTTTCCTCACCTGTAAAATGGACACAGTGACTGCACCTACTTGGGACAGTGCAGGGTGTGGAGAGTTCTAGCTTTCCTTCTTTCTAACTTAATTTTCCTGCTGGAAAATGGGAGAAGGGTGCTCCAGGAGCTCTCAATGGGCTGTTGTAGCTTGGCCACACCCAGACCAAGTGTAAGAAGCCTTATGACTTCTTTGGAGGCAGCCTGGCTTCTGCCTACATTTCTGGGGGTCACTTTGCCTGTTTCTCAGAGACTGATCACCTTAGGAAAACCAATGAAGTAGCTTCCAATGTTGCCTTATTAAAGACATTGTCACACTGGATGATTCTCGATCATTCCAGTAACAAACACTCCTGCACTCCTGTTCTGGGCCACACCCTGTGCTAAGGTTTAAAGGGAATGGAGTCTCTGCCCTCCAGGCACGTATGGGTATTGGAGCATGGGAGGACAACTGAGTAGAAGATTCTCTGGAGGAGGTATGAACACAGCACTGTGAGAGCTCAGTGGGGGAAGCCCGTCACAGATGCTACCTTAGAAAGAAATGCAGTGAGGGAGGTGCCCCAAGAGGGAGATGCCCCAAGAGGGAGATGCCCCAAGAGGGAGACATCTATGATGGGACCTAAAATTGCAGAGAGGAAAGGGCATCCCAGGCAGAGCCTACAGCCTGCACAGAGGAATAGTGCTGGGGGACACATGGAGGCCTGGAAGACTGGAGTGGAGGGCCCAGGGAAGGAGGGTATGTGAGGGGAGCTAGGGAAGAGGATAAGGGGAAGGGCCAGGTACAGTATCGGATTCAGGCTACAGAACCTAAACAGGGAGCTCCATTGTAGGGTTTTTATTCAGTGGGCTGGCATGACTATTTCTGCCTTTTAGAAATGTTACTCAGGTAAAGATGTACAGGAGAGTCTGGAGATAGGGCCCTAAAAGATCATTGTAGACAGCTGGGTGAGTAATTGTTGAGGCCTGGACCCAAGGGAGGGCAGTAGGGACAAAAATGTCTCTAAAATAGAATGGACAGGAGTCAGTGCCTGACTGGGGCAGGGCTGTAGAGAGGGAGGAGCCAAGGGGGAGAGTAAAGGGACATAGAGATCCATGAGGACTCATCTTGGGTGTCACTTCCTCCCAGGAGCCTTCCCTAACAACCACCATCCCCATGCTGATGACAGGCCCCTGCTCCGAGCTCCCAGTGTCTCAGAGATTATCTTGGGCATACACTCTGGCCTCCCTCTGCAGACCCTAGGCTTCATAAGACAGGGTCCCATTCTTGTGCTTTATGGCTGCCTCCCAGCTCCTAGTATCAGGGTCAGACGTTCCGCAGGGGCTCAGTAAAGGCTACTTGGGCAAATAGCTAGATGGGCAGGAGAGAGAATGCTACATAGAAGCAGGGGGGCATCCCTTCCTTGGCCTGTCATTCCAGAGAGAAGTGGCCCCTCCCTGCTCAGATCTCCTCTTGCTCAGCTCCCAACCCCCTGAATTCTGCCTGCCTGTTACTTAGCCATATGCCTATTCCCCTGGGACAGGGGTTGGGCCTGCCATGCTCCTTGCTGGTTGTGTCCCCCACCCCGTCTCTCACCCTCCCCAGCACTGGGCATGGTGGCATCAAGAGCTCTCAAGGGTGACCCAGTGACTCCATCCCATTCCCAGTAGCTCTCCTCACATAGGCAAGGCAACTGCTCCAGTGATGTTATAGGGCTTCACAGACCCTGTGACCCACCCAGCACAGTAGGCTAGTCCTGTGCTTGGGGCTTGGCAGGGTTGAACCCTCACAGCTGGTTCATGTCTACATCTGCCTCTCCTACCAGGCAGATAGTCAGCAGCTCTGGCCAAGGGGTCTGCTGGATCTCTGCTGGGTCCCCAGAGTAGAGCCTGGCCTTCCACAAGTGCTTGCTCTGCAATAGTTGTGGAGTGAAAGAACAAGATGTGGGCACAGAGCCTAGGTTGACCATGCTTCCCCGCAACCAAACCCTAGCCCTCATCATTTGCCTGCTGATCCCGTCTCTAGAATGGTGTGGAAGGAGCCCAGACAGCAGCAGGGCCTTGGTACCTCATTCCTTCCAGGTCTGGGGCCATCTGGCGGAGTCCTGCCACAGGCGTCGTGATCTGCAGGCAGACAATCTCCTCACCTCTTGCACTGTAGCCAAGGGAAAGAGCCATAGAGTTGCTGCTAAGAAAAGTCCACTCATCTGTTCTGGGCATCCAAGGGCATACGCCCTCAGGAACCTCCTGGCTAGTGCAGTGGGACACCCAGACCCATTGTCTTCCCCCCTTCTTGTCTCCTCTTTCACTTTGAGCATTCTTGGTGCTGCAGCAGAGCTTGGGCCACTGACCTCCAGGCCCCAGAGGAAGGGGAGTGAAGGACCCTTTCACCAGTCTTCCACTCTCAATTCCAGCCCCATTCATGTACAGACAAGGGACCTCTTGAAAATGGAAGCACCCAGCCCCAACATCCTGTTTGTAGCTGCTGCTATGAACCCTGCTTATGGCCCTACTGGAGTGTCCAAAGTGGCTATTTGTGAGGTCAGTAGGAATTCTGAGTTTATTGGTTAATGTGGACTGATGATGAATAAGATGTCTAGGAAACCTACAAACCAAATTTTAAGTGAGAGCCAGAGAGAGAGGGATGGCAGAAACTGATGGGTGAAGGGAAGTGACCAGGCCCTGTGAACCCACAGAGGAGCAGGCATTCTGAGAAGGGCCCTTTGAGGGTTCTGGTGTTCAGAGCCTAGTCTGCAGGTGATAGCCACATCCCTTCAAATCTGATGAGTTTTTTGGACCCACTGTAGGGCCTGACACCCAGCAGACTTGGGTCATGGTGATGGCCAGGGATGGAGAGAATCTAGAGCTCCCTGAACTTGATGGGAGTACCCTTCACCCCAAAGCACACCTCTCCAGGTCCACAGAGTAAGGCTAAGCCATGCTTTAAGACCCAGTCAAGGTTACATTACAGCCAATCACTCCTTCCTTTGTTTTCTCCTGGGCACTGGGCTGGGCACTGTGGTACAAATGAGATGAGCCTCAGCTCTGCCCTGGTGAAGGCCCCAACGCAGTTGGAGGGAGATGGGAAAGGAGGAGGTGGAGGCTGGCAAGTATCTTAAATGCCAAAACCAGACATGGTGTAGCAAAGGGGAGCCACAGGATGAGCTTAAATTGGGGGCTGAGGGGCTTGATATGATCAGACTGGAATTTTAGAAAGGCCACTCCAGGGTACCCAGGAGGAGAAGGGATCGGAGGAGCCAAGGTGAAGGCAAGGTGGTGGGTGAGCCTAGGTGTTGACCCTAGTGCTTGACTCCAACCTAGACTGGGAGCCCATGGAGAACCAGTTCAGTGGGTTGCTAATCTCTGTCCTTCCTGGGGACAGTAGGGATGACCAGAATGAAGCAGCAGAGCTACCAGGGACAAGGCCTCTCACCATGTGAAAGCCAGGAGAGGGCCCAGTCCACAAAGGCAGCTCTGATGTCCACCCATCTCCTCCCATGACAATGATGATAGCATACAGCCCCTGGCTGCCAGCCCTATTCTGCCCCATCTAAAGCACATGGTGCCAGAGAGCAGCAACACACTCCAGTTGGGGATGTCATAGGCAAGTAAAATTTTTTTTTCTCACTGATGTTTCTTGTTATGTCAGAGAGGAAATAGCAACAAAGTGTTGTTGTCTCAGCCTGCCCAAGCTGGCCCTTTCTCCCTCAACACCTTCTTTCTCCTTTGTCACTCCCCTGAGCAACTGCTTCTAAAAGACCCAGATCAAACAGGAGCTCTTCTGGAGGGGCTGTTATGAGTTGCATTGTGTCACTCCCAAAAGATATGCTGAAGTCCTAACCCTTGATATCTGTGAATGTGACCTGATTTGGAAATAGGGTCACTTCAGATATAATTAGTTAAGATAAGGTCATGTTGGAGTATGGTGGGCGCTAACCCAATATGACTGGTGTCCTTATAAAAAGGAGGCATTTAAATACAGGAACACAGAGGAAAGACAGCCACGTGAAGGCAGAGGCAGAGACTGGAGTGATGCATCTGCATGCTAGGAAGCACCAAGGATTGCTGACAATAGCAGAAGTCAAGAGAAAATTTTAGAAAAATGCTCCCTCAGAGTCTTCAGAGGGAACATAGAGGCCTGCCCACACCTTGTATTGGGACTTCTGGCTTCCAGAACTGTGAAGATAAATCTCTGTTGTTCAATCCACTCAGTTTCTGACACCTTGTCATGGCAGCCCCAGCAAGTTCATACAAGAGCTTTCCAGCCTCTCCTCCCCTGAAGCCCTCCAAAAGCCCCACCCCCTCCCCAGACCCCCAAACACAGATGGCTCTAGTCCAATGTGAAGTTCTCAGCTCAGCTAAGAGCTGCTAAAAACCAGGAACACTCATCCAGTGTAGCCCCAGTTGCCCGTGGGAACATGACTGACAGTGGCCTGTGCCAAAGAGTTTGCAATTCATCCAGCCAGAAGAGGGAGAGAGGCAGGGGAGGGAGGAAGAAGTACAGGTTTCACCAGCTATCCAAAAGAAGAGCGTTCCTATGAAAACTTTCATAAGCTGAAATGGAATAAAGGGGAGAAGCAATGAGCTGAACGCTATTTTTGCTTTTTGCCTTTTTAAATAAAAGCAAAAATCCTCTTCTTATTTCTTTTGGTTAGTGAAAACAGATACTAACGTAGTTCTCTCTGATCCTTTTAAAAGCGAAGTGGCAGAAGGAGAACTTTGGAAAAGTGGGGGATACCTGTACCTCCTTCTCCAGAGCCCACAGCCGTATTTTCCTCAGAGGCCAGCAGGTGGCGATATTGGCGTCTTTCGTCATTGGAAGAAGAGCCCGGCAAATTAACAAGCCTCTAGTGGGGACCACCTGACAATACAAGCACTAAGGCACCACACAAAGGACTTCATAAGCATTATCCTATCTAATATTTGGGACAGCCTCAGACGGTAGTTATCACTGCTCCCTATTTTACACATGAAGAAACTGAGGAACAGAGACTTAAAGGGACTTTCGTGAGGTCACACAATCAGTAAGGGGCAATGTCAGGATTTTGTCTTTTGCTGGAATGCTGGAATCTGTGCACTTACTCGCTGCTTCCTAGCTATTCTACCAAGCAACATGCTGGGACACAGACTGCAGGCCCTGCCCTAGTTCGGTGAGGCAGAGTGCCAAGGAAGCTGGATCAGTGCTGTGATGGGGCAGCAGCCAGACCAGGGGCCCTCATGGAGGTCTGTCTCTCTGGGAGAGGGTGTCCAAATGAGCTCAGTTCAAAAGGTGGGCAGGAGTTATCCCAAAGCAAGAGAAGAAAAACTAGATTAACCCAAGAAACCAGGTCTGGGGTGTGTGAAGGGAGGGCTCCCTTCCAACACGTTAGCAGTGTGTGTGGGGGTGATGGTGGACACAAGTAGAGTGGATGTGGACACTAGAGTTGAGGGGCCTTGGGATACCCAGGCAGGTCTTCAATCTAGAGCAAAACTGGAGTTCCAGTGGAAGGAAAGAGATAGCTGGAGAGCCTTGAGGACAGAGCCTGTGCATGTCCTCATGTGGCAGTTCCTGTCTCAAACTTTCAGCCTTCCCTGAAGTCCATAAAGGGTTTGGAACCTAAGACAGGGGCACTCCTCCTGGTTGTCCTGCTGCATAAGATGAGGAGCTGACCTTCAGACTTGAGCCAAAGTGCTCAGAATATGGGTAGACTTGTGCAGGGGGCCTCAGCAGGGCCATGCCTAAAGACAAGGCTGTGATATTCTTCTATTCTACTGTGTCATAAACCAGCTTCTTCTGAGATGCTATGAGACCCAGGGTTTGGTTGAGTCACTGCTCCCCACAGGGCTGGGATTCTTCAAGGGCATAGCCAGTCCTAGAATTCTCAGATAGCCAGACAGACAGGAGCTGAGTGTGATCATCAGTTGATGATGGCTGCCTGGCCCAGTGCAAGGCCTGATTTAGTCTGGTCAGAGAGGGTGGGTGCTCAGGACTGGCCAGCAGGTCACCTGGAACCTATCCAGTGGGTTTTGACATTTCATGATTGTGGAATCTGAGAGAAGCAACATTCTGAGAAGTATCATGCCTGCCTTACCAACCATCCTTCTGGAAGGAGGTTCCCTCATTGTGAGATACCTCTGGTGTCTGGAACATTCCATAATCTGAGTCTAGTTCTGTTTCCTGTGCTTTACAAGCAAGTTTTATCTGAGACATCCAGACTCCAGAAATGGGAGACAATACATTTCAGTTGTTTGATTCACCCAGTTTGTGGACCTTTGATACAGCAGCTCTAGCAAACTAAGACAGCCCCCATATGCTATCGGTCACCAAGTCTCATCAGTGCTACTTTGTGAAGCGTTCTCAAATATTTCCACTTGTTCAAAAGTTCTTATGGACAAAAGTTCAGACAAACATCAAACATCAAAAGAGGGGCTGAGTAAAGAGGAGGGGCTTTCCAGCAGAGGGGCCCCTATTGCCACCTCCCCTCTCCTCCTAGCCCCAGCTCAGCAGTCCTGCTGCTCCCTCTGGGCAGAGGTCTGCAGCCTGGCTCTCCATCACCAGTGCTATGGCAGGTGGTCCATCTTTCTCCTGGCACAGAGGAGGTGACCCTGAAGACTGTGATACAAATGGTTGAAGGGCTCGAGTTGGGGATGGGAGTAGGCTTGGAGTGGCATTATGAATGCTAGAACAGTTCTTGGAGTCTCCAAGGGTGACCTGTAAGGACAAGTGCTCTGCCTATCTGGCCTCAATGTCTCCCAAAGGTATCATGGAGGCATAGCTTTTAGCACACCTGGATTTGGGCAAAGCTTCCAATCCAGGCAGGTGCTTTAAGCAGTAGTGATAATATGGTGCCAGCACTCTCAATAGGACTTAGCAGGATTCATCACAAAATACAAAGAGGTATTGATTGCTTTTCATCTGCAGACAAGAGAGTGCCATTGTCTGCTTGGACACTCAGGGTTCAGAAATCAGAGCAAATCAGGACTCTGACTGGAGAGAGATCACCAACACCTTGTCACCCCACTGCCAGATCCTCCAATCTGACCAGCTCACAGCACACACCTGGGCTCCAGGCTCCCAGCAGGGCTTGGCAGACTCGGCATGCATTCAATCCAAATTGCATGAGACACTTTTCCTCGGCCTCTATTCGAACTGGCAAAAAAGGCATCTGTAAGCAGTGCTGGGGACTGCGGAGTCTCCTTCCCCAGCAGGCGCGGGAAGACAGGGTTGGCAGGTTGAACTTAGCCAACTTTTAGGAGAGCCATGAACAAATCTGAGAATGGCAGGGCTGGTACCCTGGCAGTGGACCCGCTGCAACCCTGTGACACAGTTAACCACTAACCACATAAAAGTTCAGTGCTCTCTTCTTGGAGGCCAGGCTGTTTTGCTCCTTTCAGCCCTAGGACATCCAGCCAGATAGGCCCTCACTGATTTTTGTGCCCCATCCTGTTACTGGGCACATGGGGATACTGACTCTGAGGCTCTTCAAAGAAGTAACCTGGCAGAGATTCCACAGGGACTAAGTGACAGGCAGGCCTGGTAGTCACCATCCCCAGACAAAAATGAGTGATTGATTACCTGCTGGAGCCAGGAGATCTTGCCAGAGCAGGTGGGTCCTGATTCTTCTCAGAAGGCCCATCCTCATCCACCACATCCACCCTTTGGGCAAGAAGAGAAACAGTTGAGCCACATTCTCAGCTGCCCTTGAAGGGCATGCGTTCTTTCAGTGGAGTCTATAGCCATAAGGTGGCCCAGGCTAGGGGCTCAGCAACTCTCCTTTGGGATAAGGACAGCATACTGTTTTGAATAGTGTCCCCCCAAAATGCATGTCTGCTTGTAACGTGTGAATGTGACCTTATTTGGAAATAGGATTTTTGCAGATGTGATTGGGTTAAGATGAGTCAATACTGGATTAGGGTGGACCCTCATCCAATGACTTGTGTCCTTATTAGAAGAGGGACATTTGCACACAGACACACAAAAGCCATGTGTAGGTGCAGGCAGAGACTGGAGTGATGCACCTACAAGCCAAGGATAACTAAGTGTTGCCTGTGGCCACCAGAAGGTAGAAAAAATGCATGGGACAGTCTCTCCCTCAGAGCCTCCAGAAGGAATCAAACCGGCCAGCACCTTGATCTTAAACTTCTGGCCTCCAGAACTGGGAGACAATACATTTCTGGTGTTTATGCCACACAGTTTATGGTACTTTGATACAGCAGTCCTAGGAACCTGATACAGCCACCAAGAGTAAACCACTTTCTGTCACTTCCTTCGTGCTGCCACCACCCTCTACTGGGTGTATTCCAATCAGTCTTTCTGGTATTCCAGCATAGCAAGCTGTTTGCACCTCTGGGCCATTATACCAGTGGGGCTCTCTACCTGGAACACTTGACACACTGGGTTTTCCTTGTTTTTTTTTTTTTTCAGTCCTCAGCCCATTATGAAGGTCTTACCTGTCTAACCAATGGAATATCCCTAAAATTCAACTTTCCAGAAGTTTCCTACTGGTCTTCCCTAAATATTATCCTCTCTTAGAAGATGTCCTTTTCACCTAATGGTGACACCTCTCCCTCACGCAGCTGGAGTGTCCCGATGTCCTGATCATTCCTTGTTAAACCCTCTTCATCCTTTAGGGCCCATCTCCAATGTCATGGTCACTTTGAAAGGCCTGTACAACCAGGCAGGAGATCCCAATGACAAGCCTCTGGACCTCATCCCAGTGATCGTTCCTGTGAAGACATTGTTTAGCCTATCCTTGGAAGGAAGGGAGGGAGGGCAAGGGAACAACTCCTATGTACCCCCATAACTACTTATGCTTCAAAACCCCAGAGGCCCTCGGAAATACTATGGCTCTATCTTTGGTCAGGGGCCCAGCCCTGTTAGCTACTGGCAAATGGGAGTATCCAACCACAAGCTGTGGTCTCTCAGCCAGGCTCCTGCCTACATAGAACTGGATGTTGGGGCCATATGTGCCACCATAGCCACCCTGGTGCTCACCCAGCCTTCAGACAGAAGCCACCAGACCTTTACAACTACCCCTGACCAGGGACGGTGGCCCCGCCCCATCCCATGACCCTCTCCTCAGTGGCCACACTACACCATTGCCAAAAGGAGGCCTTCTCCATGGCCAGCAGCAGGCTTCTAAGGCTTCACTTGCTGACACTTACCTCTTCGCAATAAACGGGGCCTGCATCTCCTGGGCAGGGCTGCTGGAAAGGAGGTAGAAAGGCAATGTGTTGAGCATAATCCATGCAGTAGGCAGATGACATGACCACTCTGTCCCAGGGGGTCCTGGGCCTCTCTCCCATTCCTAGCATCTTACCTGTCCTATTGGCAGCCACCAGACCCCTCAGTTTTCCAGAAAGTGCATCTGAGAATCACAGAAGGTCCAGCTAAGAGGGCCCACTCACCACCCCCTTCACCAGGCACAGTAATACTGGAGCCCTGAAGGGACAGGAAGTGTTCCAGAGCAAGGAGCCAGCTGGTGGCTGAGCTGTGTACCTTGCTGTGCAACTTACCTGGTGCTCTTCTTGGCTGCTGACAGGACGTAGGAGCGCTCCCAGGCAGCTGTCTTCCTTACCACACTGCTGGCAGCTTCTGACCTGTGGTAGTAAGGGGACATCTGATAGACAGGTACTCAGGGTGCCTTGGGCCACCATAACAATGCAAGGGGGCAAAGCTAGCTTTGCCTCTGCTCTGAGGACCATTCAAAAGAAAGTAGAGGCCAAGGGAAGGGCAGCCCTTGTTTACTGAGCAATGGATACTGCCAATCCAGGTTGGCTCATTCCTTATACCCCGGGGAGGCTGGTGCTAGTATCACCCACAGATGAGGAAACTGAAGTATGGGTAGTTGTAGTGCCTTGCCCAATATCAGACATTTAGCTGGTGGCAGAGTGGGCAGTCGATGCCAGGTGGCTTTCCAGGCCTGGGGATCCCTGCCATTGTGGACTCTGTCCTTAGGATGGTCCAGGTACCAGGCCCTCAGCGGGGGGCTTTGCTCTATTTCCTGAGCTACAGAGGGGCCAGCAGACATTGGGATTGGGGGTGGTGGCAGGCTGAGCCTGGGAAGCTCTATCTCCTTGGGTTCTAGCTGCTTCCTAAGCAACCAGCCTCGGTTTGGGGTGAGGGGCATTGAAACTTCTGGCCCTGGCCCTGTCCCCTAGACATGCAGGCCCTACCCTGACTCTGCACACACAGTACATACACAAAGGGCTCTTGTGAGGGGACCCTGTGCTACCTATTTTGGTCCAATTTGCTCAGGACTCTTTTTAACAACCTGATATAAAGTCCTAAAGCACAACCCTTCCTACCCTCTGTCCACAGATGAGGCTTTCCTTTGACCCTTGTTACATAGGTTCTGCCTCATAGAATGTTCATAAAAGGGTCTCCTGAGCTGGCACAGCTATGTGGGTGGTTTGGGGAATCAAGGGGTGACACCTATTGCTAGCAGCCATTCTTCTAGCCCACAGGCCAGCAACAATATCCTAAATATTATGTACGTCATCACCCCAATTGGCACAATTCCTATTTTACCAGTGTGTGTAGACCTGGGCCCCTGCCCATGGGATGCCCGATGGGTATTGTTACCTCCGTTTCTGCTCATCAGAAGAGAAGGGCACATCTTCTTCTTCAGCAGCCCCTGATGCTGAGCTGCGCCTGATGTTATAAGGTGCCCTGAAGGATGCAGAGTGGGAGAGGTTGAGGATGTTGGCAATTATGGCTCCCCTTCCCCAACCTCTACCCCTGTTCCCTCTCATAGGCTGCTATTCCAAGCAGCTTGGCTTCCTGACTTCCAACAATACCAACATAAGTTAATGACACTGCCTCTGGGCTTTTGCTCATGCCACTTCTTCCTCCTTGAGAGCCAGCCCTCCCCTCTCTCCCTGGTCCAACCCTAACTGTCCTCTAAGACCCAGTTCAAACCTCACTCCTTCTCCAGAAAGACACCCTGGCCACTCCATGTCACTGGATGATGGTGACAAGGAACAAACAATATGAAGATATGGGGCCCCTGGGAACAACCTACAACTCTGTCCAAAGCTCTCCTCCCTTGTCACATAGGAAGGAACCTTTGACACAGGCTACGAGGTGAACTCCAGAGGGAACTCCAAAAATTTATATCCAAGAAGCAGCTCAGATTTGGGCACGAAATGCCCATAACTAATAGATTATCATGGCCAGCAGCATGCTGAGGATCATCAGGCACTAGCCTGGCCCAGCCTAGCCCATGCCGAAAGCCCAGTCCAGAGGGGTATAGAGGCATGTTCAGGAAAAAGTCAGCCAGAAGCAGCTCCAGGGCCATGACCCATGACTCCTTCTCTAAATCCACCAGCCCCTTCTACAAACTTCCTACAGATCCTGCTTTGCCTTAGATCAGAAGTGCAGTGTGCATAGACATCCAACTTTCTGGGGCTTGTCACCCTCTGGTGGGTTCCAGATCATCACATGAACTTGCAGTGATGTCAGACAAATAGAACTAGCACTCCTGAACTGTGCTCAGAGGCAACAAGCCTGCTGCCCTCAGAGGGCCAGTGTTAGGATTCACCTCTTGCAATAAGGAACTGAGCTGGGTTTGCAATGGCATACTCACAGCTTCTTGTAGTCCTCAGTGGTCATCCTGTAGCCAGAGGAGGAGGGACGGAGAGGTCCAGCAGGAGCTGCTCTTACCACACTGGCAGTGCTAAAGAGGCAAGGAGTTTTCATATGTTCACCCTCAGGCCCCCTTTTGCCTCCAGATTTTCCCATACAACCCAGAAGGCACGTGGTAGGTGGATGAGAGAATGTTGATGGCCTTTCTTCTCTGCTCTCAGCCCTGCCAGATACCCAGAACATCTGTAGCACCCTGAGCAGGCTGGCCCTCCTGCCAAGGGCAGACTCAGCCCCCTTGACCCTGCCTTTCTGATGGAATCTGAGTTTAGCCTAACACCAAGGTGCTTTGACAATATGCCACCTAAGCCTGCCAGGAAAGTGGCTTAAAGCACACAACACACTGCAGTCAATCAGCAAGTCAAAGTTTCCTGCAAGTCAGGACTAGCTCAAAGGCAAGGAGACCAGTAGTATCCCAGGTACTCCAAGAAGCCAGTGGGTCCAAATTGGGCCGTGCACCCACCTGAGGGCTTCCAGTACCTGTGGTGCAGCTGCCTCCTACCCCAACCCATCTCCTCTGGTTGCCCCTATGTTGCTATCCAGGTTCCTACCCTAGAGAAGAACAAAGCAGCCACCCTCTACCCCCTCAGTGATAGGCAGAGTACTCTCTCTACCATGAGCCTAGCCCAGGCCTTCACAACTCCCCATTGGCTGGCTGGCTGGCCAGAGTCCCATGGACACACCTTTTTGGAGCTCCATTGGCTTTAGGAAAGTGCTTCTGGGGCTGGGACGAGCTGTCTACAGGCTTGGTGAACACTCCCCTAAAAGAGAGTCCAGAAGAAGTAGCCCATTAAGCTCCCAGGGAGAAGCTAGGGGGAAGTGCTGGTGGGTGCAGGGAGGCAGGCAGGGTCTTGCCATCACCTACCGGATGATATAGCCAGTGGAAGCCCTTGTGCTCGTAGGCCTGCTAAGGAAAAAGAAGGCATGAAGTGAATTGAAGCCTTGATAGAGGGCCCTACTTTCTCCTGTCCCCAATGACAGCAAAGCGAGTTACTGGGTTACCCATACTCTGGGCCCTGAGTCACAGGATGTGCTTTCCAAATGTACACACAAACCAAAGCCCAGGGTGAGAACTGCACCCCTAAGTAAACAAGCCCACCCAACCCTACGAGTAAACTATCTTTGAACTGTCCTCAGGTCCTTGCCAACCTCGCCAATTGCAATTCTCTTTTGTACATTCATCTCTCTACTTAGGTTGTACCCATGGTTCCTGCTAGGATGTCAGTTCTCTGAGGAGCAGGCTGTCTCCTCTGGGCTCAATATAGGACCTGGCAGGTAGCAGGCACTAAGTCATTGAGGGTGATGGGCAAGGCCACAGTTACCAAAGGTAGGTTCTAGGACTGGTAGTGAATTTGGACCACTCCCTTCCAGCCACTGCCACTGTCTCTACTGCCACCTGAGAAAGGCCATGGCAATGTAACTATCTGCCAAATACCAGCTGTGTGGAACAAGGGTCAAGCCTGAATTTTTGGGCCCCCCACCCTCTTACGTCTCAGGAACAGTTCCTGCAGATCTGGGTGGATGTTCCCATGCTTCAGAGCCTCCCTGGACACCTCTTTGCAAAAGTCCTTGAAATAGAGAGAGGACTATTCCCTTGGCCAGCTGGCAACATAGGTCATCCTGAACTTAGGAGACAGTTGTCACAAACATGTGAGTCTTCCCTGGAATGCCAATTAAATTACCAGGTGTACTTAGCAATCAGGGCTACCTACAGAGGGAGTCATTTGTGACTCTCAAAGCACCTCACAGACATTGTCTTACTTCCTGAAGGGGCTTCTAATGACAATTTTTGATCACAGTTGACAGGTGGAACCATAGAGGCCCAGGAGGGGAGGAGGCAGTTGTCCCAAAGGCCACACGGAAAGCTAAGGAAATGGACTCAGTGACTTTTGCTTTCCCTTTCCCAAGATGGAGCAGAGAAGACAAGCTTACCTTTCTTGTGAATTTGATATGACTTGCTCCAGACCCTGACATGCCTTCTCAGTTTGGGCTTCATCCCTGTCCCCTAAGGTACCAGCCGTCTGGGTACCAACTCTTACCTGGGCTTCAGCACTTCTCCAGCTGATGAAAAGGATGTGGCACGACTCCGACCAGAGGGCAGCTCTCTGGAGAAAGAGGGGTCCTAAAATAGTGGCTCCCAGGCCTCCTCCCATCAGCCTCTCTGTGACCTCCATCCTAGAGGCAGCTGAGAAAGGTGTAGTACATGCACCCAGGAACTTGGCCCACCATTTCCATCTTACCTTCTCCTTCTATGATTGTCTCCATATTCCACAGGCACTTGCCCACATGCACCGCAGTATCCAGGGCTTTCCTGCCCTGTGACTTTGGTTAAGTCTTGCCCTCAGCTGGATTTATTTTCCCTGTTCCAATTTCCCCAGCTGGCCAGTGGCCACATTGCCTGGCTGAGCTCTGAATAGTGGAAGCCCCTCAGCATCTCCACGTGTGGATGAGACTCATGAATCACAACCCCAGCTCCACCCTGTTGCTGCTGGCCCCTCCAGCCTCCTTGACTTACAGGGTGTGGCCCTCCGATTCATCCTGCTTGGTGATCCAGCTCTTGTCCCCCTTCAGAGTGGTCCGCACCTTCATCTGCTTGAGTACATTACTGCGCTCCTCTTCACCTGCTGTGAGAGGCTTCCCTGGCAGGGGCAAGGCCACACAGCTTCAGAAGGGGAACCCAGCCCCAGGACCCTGGGTTTCCTTTCCAGCCCTCCCAATATGCCTCTCTCACTCTGCTGCCCAGGCAGCAGTCAAGGTCCTGGCAGGGCCAGCCTGGAAAGAGGCAGCTATATACAAAGCCCGGGACTAGGACAAGAGGGAGCCTGGGCCTCCTCACCTTTGGTGCTGCTTCCAAGAGCTGAGATGCTCATGGTGCCTGCTCTGCAAATCACTTCTCAGTTGATTCAACAGGGCTCCTGGGCCAAAGGCAAGCATATGGCTGTCACTTCATGAATTTATCATGTCCTTTGGGCATTGGGAAGCAAGAGCTGGTGGAGTCCTGGGTGGCAGATAGAGGCCAGAGAGTGAGCACTTACTGGATCTGCCACCACTAGGTGGCACACCCACATGTCTGCTCAGGGTCACTTACCTGGGAAACAAGGCATAGGCTGCTACAGGCTGTTTGCGACATGGCTGATGCGGGAATACCACAAGCCCTCCTAGAGAGCTCTGATGGCCAGAACCCACACCCCGTCAAGTGTTGGGGAGGGAGTGGCACAGAGGGAGCCTTCACATTGCCACACAGACAGCAACTCCCTGGGGGCCAGCACTATTGGACTCACAAGGAGGGACAGAAGGAAGGGCTGGGGCTGGGGGCAACAGTCATTTTCATGTTGGACTATCTTTCTCAGTACTTAGTAGTTGCCTGACAGACCTTGGCTGGTTGGCTAAACTTGCAGGGCTGCCTCAGTGTTCTTCTCTGTAAAATGGGGGTTTAAAAAGTCTACCCTTCATGACTGCTCTGGGGACAGAATGAGGATCAATGTCTTGCAAGTGCCTGGCACCACATGACACAGGAAAGATTGCAAAGCAGTTGAATAGAAGCAGTAACTCTCAACCTGTCTTCTCTAGGACAAGGGACTGTAGGTAGTCCTCAATCAGTACAAGCATGGCCTGGGGATAGGCAGCCCTTTGTGGTTCAGAACTTGGCTCCATATCCAGTGAGGAAAGCCTGGGGCCCCACTGCCAACTCCTAGTGACCCTTAAGGACCAGGCAAGGATGGCGATCTGGTAAGGGTTTGCGGCTATGCCTGGGAGGTAGGGATGTCCTATGCTCTGCTTTCTCTATCTCTGTCTTCTATACCTATTCTCCCTCTTTGCCTTCAATTTGCCCTTTAGCCACATGTTGTCTTCCTGTGGCCAGTGGGAAATGGGCTGTGGTGGCCTCTCAGACCTTCATAGCACCATGAAATCTATTTGCCTCAGGAGGGCCTGGGGTAATGAAGCCATATCTCCAGGATGGGACTGGCCCGGTGCTGCAGGGACGTGGAAAGCCCATGTCATGGGTCTAGTCACAACCCTGAACTGCCACAGCCAGCCTCTTGTGCCTCAAGAGAAGAGTTGGAGGCTCAGGCAAGTGGGCACAATGAGAAGCAAGGGCCTGGCTCTGCCATCACAATCCTGAGGCAGAGCAGCCTTCCTTTTAGGGGTCTGCCACCCTCTGGGAGGCTCCAGGGCCAGGCCTGAGCAGCTGGGCCCTGCCACCATCTGGCAAGGCCTGCATATGCTTCTGTGGAGGTCAGGGGCACACAGAAATGGGCTGGGCAGGGGGCCAAGAGTGAACCAAATTTACCATGTCAGCAAGAGCTGGAATTGCCATAAACTGCACCAAGTACGCAGCCCAGGAGACCTGAGCACACTGTGTTCCAGGAATAGCACCTCATCATTGTGAATGGGCACCCTGCATGCCCAGTCCCTGAACCAAGGAGGCCACATCAAAGTTCTACTGAGAAGAACACATTCCACAGATGATTCTCATAGGCCCAACTGCCATCCCAGTAACCCATGCACTGGTCCCACTGGGTGGGGCACACAGACAGAATCACCTCTTGAGATCTTGGCCCTTTGGTGTCCTTGCGCTGCTGTCTGACTGTGAAACCTTAGGTAAGTACCTCACCTCCTCTGGGCCTCAGCTCAGGAATTCATACTACTCAGTCTTTGGATTCCTCTAGGAACTCATCAGTCTCATCTTGACAAACCTGTTGGCCATGTTGCCTAGAAGTTTTCTGCCTAATCAGGACCAAATAAACCACTGCCAAAATCAGGAGGGACTCATACACATGTACAATAACAGAGGCACAGGGGCCACTGGAGACTCCCAAGCCAAAGGGCAGAGATATGCACATGAGCCCCCAGTCAGGGAGGGCAGAGCTGGGATGGTGCCCACACTACCTGAGGCCTTGTCTTTACAGCTAAGACCCCAGTCAGAAAACTCAGGCAAAGACTAGAGCCAATTACTCATATCAGAAGTCAAATGTCATTTTTTGATGGCACAATCTCTCTGAAAAAGTCAGAAAGTAAAGCCATTCCATGGAAATGAAGAGGAAGGCAGCTCTTTGGCCAACAGGTTTTTAAAGTGATGAGTGCCAGCCAGACAGATGGACACATAAAGTTTGAATTTAGGTCTCTGGGGGAGATCTGGCTTCTCCCTCCACTTCATCAGCCCCTCTGTGCCCCATACTCCACCCCACTCCAACCCTCATTCAGGCCATAGTCACTTCTGACCTCCTCCCTAGTCCATGTGGTTTTGTCTGTGCCTCCTTTCAGGGGTGCTCATTGGCCTCTAATCTCAGTTGGCCTGGCTTCTCTCTCAACTTCTGTGGGCTTCCCTGTGTCTAAGGCTGGGGGCAAACTTTCCAGTCTAGTGTCCTGATCCAGCCACTTTTCTCTCCACTCTGCACCCCAATGTTGACACTGCTCCAAAGAGATCATGTAGCTCAGCATCTCTAGAAGGTGGCCCTTTAGCTCCCACTTTTCCTGCCTTCCCTTCTTCCTAGGGACCTCTCCCTTCCTCTGACCCTAGTGCCATGGTACTGTGGACCCAAGTCCTCCTAGGTAAGACCTACCCCCTCCACCAACCTCAATGAGGTCAGAGTCCAGTACCCCTCAACCCTCACACACAGCCTGCACTGACGATCCCTGCTGCTGACCTGGAGGCTGGCAGGGGCCATGCTTCTGACTTACCATGCTTCTCACTACCCTTTATTGAACCCAGGTCTCCGCTCAGACCCACCATCCCCTCCCCTCTCAGAGAGCAAGGCAGAGTGGCCATCCAATCAAATGGAAGCCGGGAAAATCCTCACTGTAGACAGAAGCAGTTTTGGAGAATGGGGGGTGGGGATGACCACTCAGAAGGGCGTTTCCTGGGAAGCTCTCATGCACTGTTGGTGGGCAGATTAATAAAAGTATCTTCTGGAGCACAGATCGCCATATGTTTTGAAAGCCTTAGAAAGGGCAAGCCTATTGATTTAGTAGTTTTCCTCACAGCCATATCTCCTAAGGAAACAGTTTGCATAAGTGAACCAAGTATATAAGAACAGCACCATCCCTATGTTGAATGTGATGAAAATATGGTAATAACCTGAAAATTGCCAACAGTCATATTTAAACATATAATTATCCATCATTCAAGTACATCCTATGCAGTCATTACAAATGATACTGATATATATGATATTTGACAAGCTTTCATGTGTATGGAAAGGCAGCTTTTAAAATGAGATGTGTAGGGTGGTGCTGTTATATTTACACAAAAATGCACATGAAAAAAAATACACCTGAAAGGATATATACCAAAATATTTTGCTCTGCTGTATTTCCAATTTTTCTATCATGAGTGTGTAAATACTAAAGAAACAGTGGTTTAAGCAAATGAAATGGGACTTGAGGCTGGTTGGATAGCTAAGGCTGGGTGTCAAAAGCTGCTAAAAGGATGGGATGTGAGCAGAATGTATAGATGCAGCAGTTCTGGGAATTCTCTGCCTCTGGTGGACATCCTAGGGCACAGAGGGATGACATCCTGGGACTCTAGGAGCCTGCTGTGCCTTGCCAACCCTTGCCTCGGGTACACACACGTGGGGCATCCTTCTGGAGACTCCACCCTCTTTGCTTAGAAGCTTGGAGTAGGGGGAGAGCAGGTGGTATGTTTAGAGTCTGACCTCAGCCTGATCTCAGTCAGGAGGTCACAGCAGCAGCTGCCCCAGCAGCACAATGCAGAAACACCCCAGGGAGCAGGAGGTTAGCTTCCTTCACAAAGGCAAGGGGCACAGTAGGACAGAAGGAATGCACTTTGCAGGTGCTGAAGACAACTCCCCATCCTCAGGCGTCTTACCTTCCAACCTCCTCGCCTCACCTCCCTCCCCACCCCACACCTAGGCTATCTAGCACTGTTGCCAGGAAGAAGGAGACTGTGGGGAAGGGGGTGCTCTGAGCTTGGATATTGGCAGTGATGGTCCAAGAAGACCCAAGTACTAGGACGGGGGCCTTGGCCTTACCTTTCCATGGGGCCCCAGGATGTGCATCACAAGCATGCTAACAAGGCAGGCACCCAGTCCAGGGATCAGGACATGCAAGCGCAGCAGCAGGTCAGCAACTAGCAGGCAGTAGTGTACTGTCATCCCTGCTTCACCATGAACAAAGGAGCCCAGAGAGGTTGGGTAGCTAGCCCCAGGCCACATTTCCAACACTTCTAGAGGGTGGAGGGTTCAGCCAGAATCTGAGCCGCAGACACACAGTAGCCCTGCTGACCCCTATGCTCCATGGCTTGGAGTGCTCCTTGGAGCAAAGTGCTGGGGTGCAGGTGGCCCAGGCACACCCCCACTGGCACCTCTACACTTCCTACAAAGTTGGACACTTGACCTCAGTGGCTGACTTGCACCAGCTAGAAGGAGGGGACACTGGGACTCAGGCCAGCCATATACACAGTGTCTGGCCTCTCAGCCTGGTCCCTCCACTACTGACTCCATGAACCAGACTCTAGAATCCCCTCCAAGGAGGACAGCCCACAATCCATGTGAGCTTTCCTTCCTCTCTGCACCTGAGATGCAAGATGTTGACCAAGTTCAGGAAGACACAGAAGAGATAAACTGCTCTGACTGGAGCCCCTGCACCTCCCCACTCACCCCACAGAGAAGGGGGAAAGCAAAGTGAGATGGACACTGGATCTCTGGATTGTTACATCCCCAGCTGCCTTTGAAAGTAGGGCAGGAGACTTCATGCCTGCTTTGAGCTTCCAGTCTTACACTTTTCTTGGCACCAAGGACACTGCCATGCATAAGGGCCACCTGACCTTAGAGCAAAGACATCTCTGATCCTTGTCTCTAAGTGGCCTCACATGGTGTGATGCTGTCCCACTCTCTAAGCCTCGGTCTTCTCATATGTAAAGAGGTGTCAAACACCTAGCTTGTGGACCTGCTGTCTAGTTCTCCTCCTGGCAATGTGCCCTCAAGGCAGAACATGTGCTACTTCCTCGAATTTGGATGTCTTCATGCTAGTGGCTGT